CCACAATCTGGGTCCTCATTTTACCTACCTCGAAAGGATGGAAGGCTGAGTCAACCTTGAGCCTGGTGCGATTTGAACTTGCAGTAATTGCAGGCAGCTGGTGTTAGTTAACAGTACTTTAGTCTGCTGCGCCACCAAGGCAAATGAACAAGAATGGAAGTAACCATGTCATAAATAGCATTGAAAGGCCCTGGTGAAAGCAGGTTCCCTTGCTGGGTAAAATGTACATCCATCACAAGGGTCAGAAACCCGGTCTCCAGTATTGTGATGGATGGATGAAAAGCCATTGTTGGGAACGCTACCAAGGTTGAGGTGAGCTTGACCAAAATGCTGGTTGGATTTCCACATACAGGATTTTCCCTTTCCTTCCTTCCTTCCTTCCTTCCTTCCTTCCTTCCTTCCTTCCTCCCTCCCTTCCTTCCTTCCTTCCTTCCTTCCTTCCTTCCTTGCCTTTTGTGGCTAAGACGCTGAGCTTGTCGATCAGAAAGGTCGGCGGTTTGAATCCCCAGTATAGGTCTCCTGCGTGAGCAGGGGGTTGGACTAGATGACCTCCAAGATCCCTTCCAACTCTGTTACTGTTACTGTTACTTTTTTCTCTCCCTCTCTCCCTCTTTTTCCCTGCCTCCTGTCTGTGTGTCTAGTTTTCTTTTTCTTTCTTCTTTCTCTCTCTCTCCTTCCCTCTCTCTCTCCCTCCCTCCCTTTCCCTTTCTCTCTTTCTATCTCTTTCTCCTTCCTTCCTTCCTTCCTTCCTTCCTTCCTTCCTTCCTTCCCTTTGTGCCCCCTCCTTATTCTTTCCCTCCCTCTTTCCCTCACTTTCCCTGCCTTCTGTCTATCTAATGTTTTTTCTTTCTTTCTTTTTTCTTTCTTTCTTTTCTTTTTTTCCCTCTCTCCCTCTCCTCCCTCCCTCCCTTTCCCTTTCTCTCTTTCTCTCTTTCTTTCTCCTTCCTTCCTTCCCTTTGTGCCCTCTCCTTATTCTTTCCCTCCCTTTCTCTGCCTTGTCTATCTAATGTTCTTTCTTTCTTTCTTTCCTTTTTTCCTCTCTCCCTCTCTCCTCCCTCCCTCCCTTTCCCTTTCTCTCTTTCTCTCTCTTTCTCCTTCCTTCCCTTTGTGCCCCCTCCTTATTCTTTCCCTCCTCTTTCCCTCTCTTTCCCTGCCTTCTGTCTATCTAATCATCTTTCTTTCTTTCTCCTTCCTTCCTTCTTCTTTCTCTCTCTCTCTTTTCTTTCTTTCTTTCTTTCTTTCTTTCTTTCTTTCTTTCTTTCTTTCTTTCTTTCTTTTCTTTCCTTCCTTCTCTCTCCTCCCTCACTTTTTCCTTCTAGCCTCTCCTTCGCTTCTCTCCCTCCCCCACCTCCTCTTTCTTTCTCTCTCCCCTCTGCCCCAATCTTTTATTTCTTTCTTTCTTTCAACTTTTAAGAAAACCCAGAGGAACCTTGGTGAAAGCTAATCTAGTTGAATGGCACCGACATTATCTTCGGAGACAGGAGTGTGATGATAACCCCATCTCTTTTAGATTTGCTTGCAGCTGGATGACCTTGGCTAAGCAGGGCAACGGGGCAGCTTGTACTTGGATGAAGATAACCAAGGCATCTCAGGCTAAGATGGAAAGTTCAAAGAAACGCCCCAGAAGAGGGCAACAGGAACCGTCAACCCTCCCCCAATACTACTGGTTAAAAAAAAAAAAGGAGAGTTATTCCTTGACTTACGACCATCATCGAGCCCAAAATTGCTGTCCCTAGGTGAGACATCTATGAAGTGAGTTTTGCCCCATTTTACGACTTTCCTTGCCACCGTTGTTCAGGGAGTCACTGCCGTTGTTAAGTTAGTGACACGGTTGTTAAGTGAATCCGGCTCCCGCATTGCCTTTGCTTGTCAGGTCACACAAAAAGATGATTGCATGACCCCGGGGACACTGCAACGGTCATAAATAGGAGTCAGCAACCGAATTTTGATCACGTGACCACGGGGGAAACGCTGCAACGGTCATAAATGTGAAAAACGGTCATAAGTCACTTATTTCCCTGCCGTTGTAACTTTGAACGGACACTAAATGAATGAATGTAAGTTGAGGACTACCCATACGGCTGTCTAAACGGGTAGCCATCATCACATCTGGCAACTGCAAACCCTCTACCCCACAGGGATAACTTTAGAACCGGTTAACTGTTCTAAAAGAGTTTGGGCCATCTGCAAAACCAAACTCAAATGCCAGCGTGGCATCTCTCTTCTTCTCCAAAGCGCCTCTGGATGGGGAGTTCAGGGTACAACTTCTGCTCCGTTTCTTTCAGCCAAGTTGGGTGTGGAACAGTGGTGGGTTCCTCCCGGTTCGGTACGGTTCGGCCGAATCGGTAGCGGTGACGATATGACATCACTGAACTGGTCCTCCCACCCCCCCACATTATTCTTACCTTTTATTTGGTCCCACCCCCAATCTATTGCTGCCTCCTGAGTCCCAGCTGATGACTAGAGGGAAAAAAAAACTGTTTAAACTCTTGCCACGGGGCTTCAAAGGGCCGCCTTACAGCTGATCAGTGTTAAAAGCAAACAAATGAGTCGGGTCGTAAGTGCGAGGACCTTCCAGAAATGACTCTGACCAGCTAGCCACGCCCACCTAGTCACATGACCTCCAAGCCACACCCACAAAATAAGCCACGCCCACAGAACCGGTAGTAAAAAAAATTAGAACCCACCCTTGGTGTGGAAGCCCTCCATGCAGGAGCAGAGAAAGGAGAAGAAGAAAAAGGGGGAAGGGAAAGGGAAAAGGCCCCTTGGGGTTTTCTTCCTGATCAAACCCACAGGTTGTCCCAAAGGTGCTTCTTTTTTTTTTTTTTTCCAAGAGGCAACTGGACTTTCTGTTTTTTTCTTTGAAGAGGTTTCCCTTCTCATCCAAGAAGCTTCTTCAACTCTGAAGTCCAGTTGCCTCTTGAAAAACAAAGAACACGTTTGGGATAACCATGTCCTGGATGACTGAGAATCTCCCGGGTTGTTTTTGCCACCTGGACTAGGGTGATGTTCCCTCCTTAGCTGTTGAGAAGTAGAAGGCCAGAGGTAACAGTAACAGAGTTGGAAGGGACCTTGGAGGTCATCTAGTCCAACCCCCTGCTCACGCAGGAGACCTATACTAGGGATTTGAACTGCCGAACTGTCTGATTGACAAGCTCAGTGTCTTAGCCCTTAAGCCACCTAGCCAGGCTAATCTTGGATTACACCACTGTGCCAAAGGACACCCCCCACTCTGAAAATATGGAGCCTGACTTCACTGCCCCCAGGGATGGGACCACCTCGCTCACTTCCACCAACCAAAGCCCTCTTAAGATCTTAAGATTTCCGGGTGGATAAGGTGGGCCTTCATCTGAAGATCTCTAAGCTTCAGATGAAAGTCCCGTCTTATTATCCACCTTGTCTCCTTTCCCACTAGAGCCCCAACAAGTCGCCCGGGGGCACCTCCCTCTCCTGCAAGCACCCCTCCCCAAGACCCACTGTGCTCTGTGTATGTGTGTCTGACAGAGGTGGGTTTCAGCAGGTTCTGACCAGTTCTGGAGAACTGGTAGCGGAAATTTTGAGTAGTTCGGAGAACCGGTAATAAAATTTCTGACTGGCCCTGCCCCCATCTATTCTCTGCCTCCCAATTCCCAACTGATATCCTTCCCCTGGGGTGGGGTGGGAATGGAGATTTTACAGTATCCTTCCCCTGGAGTGGAGTGGGAATGGAGATTTTATAGTATCCTTCCCCTGGAGTGGGGTGTGAATGGAGTGGGGTGGGAATGGAGATTTTACAGTATTCTTCCCCTGGAGTGGAGTGAGAATGGAGATTTTACAGTATTCTTCCCCTGGAGTGGGGAGGGAATGGGGATTTTACAGTATCCTTCCCCTGGAGTGGGGAGGGAATGAAGATTTTACAGTATCCTTCCCCTGGAGTGGAGGTGGGAATGGAGATTTTACAGTATCCTTCCCTGGAGTGGGGAGGGAAGTATCCTTCCCCTGGACTGGAGTGGGAATGGAGATTTTACAGTATCCTTCCCCTGGAGTGGGGTGGGAATGGAGATTTTACAGTATCCTTCACCCTGGAATGGGGTGGGAATGAAGATTTTCCTTCCCCTGGAGTGAGATGGGAATGGAGATTTTACAGTATCCTTCCCCTGGAGTGAGGTGGGAATGGAGATTTTACAGTATCCTTCCCCTGGAGTTTGGTGGGAATGGAGATTTTACAGTATCCTTCCCCTGGAGTTTGGTGGGAATGGAGATTTTACAGTATCCTTCCCCTGGAGTTTGGTGGGAATGGAGATTTTACAGTATCCTTCCCCTGGACTGGAGTGGGAATGAAGATTTTACAGTATCCTTCCCCTGGAGTTTGGTGGGGAATGGAGATTTTACAGTATCCTTCCCCTGGACTGGAGTGGGAATGGAGATTTTACAGTATCCTTCCCCTGGAGTGGGGAGGGAATGAAGATTTTACAGTATCCTTCCCCTGGAGTGGGGAGGGAATGGAGATTTTACATATCCTTCCCTTGCCACGCCCAAGCCACGCCCACCAAGCCATGCCACGCCCACCAAGCCACACCCACAGAACCGGTAGTAAAAAAAAAATTGAAACCCACCACTGGGTTTGCGTGTGTGTTGGTGTGTTTGTGTGCGTGTGTGTGTGTGTATGTGTTTGTGTGTGTGTGCGCGCGACAGACCCGCCTTGCTTCGCCCGGTGGAAGGGGCTGATCTCGCCTTTCCCGTCTCACGCAGCCCCCCCTCCCCTCCCCTCCCCACCCGCCCGGCTCGGTTCCCCCCCCCCTAAGCCCCCTCCCGCCGGGTGGGTGTGTCTCGGCTTCATTGAGACTTTTGGCCGGCTTTCGCTCGACGTCAGGGAGGCGTGACCAATCAACGCCCGGGAGCCGAAGCCTCGGGAGTCCCGTCCCCCTCTGGCCATGGGTCAGGTGACGCGCCCACTCGCCTATTTAGAAAGGACCCCCGCCTCCTTTTTTGGCGAGCCCCAAGCCGAGAGGAGCCTCCGCGCTGCTGTTGCTGCTGCTGCTGCCGCGGACGCTGTCGCGCGTGGAAGGCTCCTCTTCGCTTCGCCCTGCCCCACGTTGCTCCGGGACCCCCGCCCAGCCCAGCCCAGCCCAGTGCCGGAGCGCGGAGAAGAAGCGATGCGCTTTTGCCTGTCTCTGCTTCAGCTCCTGCTGAGCCTCGGGAGCGGCGCCGCTGCCCGAGACCGACCGGGACCTGCATCGGAGCGCGGCAAAGGTACCTGCAGCAGCGGGCGATCGGGGCACCTTGGAAGCCCTGCCCGGGGACGGGGTGGGATGCGGGTGGAAGGGTTGCCCGTCGGCCAGCCGCGAGTCCCGGGAGAGCTGCGGAGCCGGCAGAGGTGGGGGAGAAAAGACCCGCTTGTCCTCGGATGCCCCCGCCCGGCGAGGTGGGGTGGGGGGAGAAGAGACACTGACCGTGTGTCTCATTGGGAAGGCTTCCCGGTTAGGTCGGACGGATGCGGACCCCAGCCTGGGCTCTCTCGCTCTCCCCCTTCGCCGGTCCTCCGGAAAGGGTCACCGGGCGCCCGGTGGGCGCGGAAAGTGGAGAGGGGGGGGAGTCCCCGCTTGATCCCAACTTGAAGCAATTTTTCCAAGACAAGGGATCCTTTGGGGGGCCGTGGGGGGGGGGGATGGGGGGGGGTTGAGGGGGGGCGCCAGTCTCCAGCCAAGGCACTCGGTGGGCGCGGAAAGGGGAAAGCAAGGCGGATCGAAGCTTCTGTGAATGAGTCCCCACTTGATCACAACTTGAAGCAATTTTTCCAAGACAAGGGATCCTTTGGAGGGGGGGGTGGGGGGGGAGATGGAGGGGAAATTGAGGGGGGGTCGCCAGTCTCCAGCCAGGCACCTGGTGGGCAGAGAAGGAGAAAGTCAAGGCGGATCGAGGCTTCCGTGGATGAGTCCCTGCTTGATCACAACTTGATCACAACTTTCCCCCCCTCAAGCCAAAGGGATCCTTCCTTTGGGCGGGGGGGAGGAGGGGGGGGGATTGAGAGGAGGGTGGGGGTGTCAAGAGATCGGTGCCTGTTAATCTGGGGGGAAGAGGCGCGCGCGATGCGCGTGAGAACGCGAGCCAACCCGGGTTTGACAATCGGACGAACGAATCGCCCGGAGAACGTTGGGTTGGATGGAGCCTTTTTGCCTAAAATCTCCCTGCTCGGAGGGACCCACTCCCACTCCCGGGAAATCTCTTCCTTAGGAAAGTGGAAGTGAAACTTTTCTGCAACTTTAGCGAGGAGAGATTTGCAAGGTTTGATTTTTTTAAGAGTCTGCAGCCACGTGTCCTTGGTGTGCAATTCATACAGTACTGGGCTCCCTCCGCAGCTCCGCTCCAAACCCTCGATGGGTTTTGTATCGTTTTTTTTGCCCGAAACGGGACTTCAAAAGCTGCGAAGTGGCGTTGGGTTTCCTGCCTAAACAGGGGGTTGGACTAGAAGACCTCCAAGGTCCCTTCCAACTCTGTTATTCGATTCGATTCTGTATCCCGTTTTGGGAGTGAAAGAGTCATTGAATGCACTGGCTGTGTGCACGTGTCACTAAGCCCGGGTCTAACCACGCTTTATGGAAGCAACCAATTTATATTTATTTGTTTTTGTTTTTAATTTGTATACCGCCCTTCTCCAGCAGGACTCAAGGCGGTGAACAGCCAGAATAAAACAGAACGTACAAAATTTAAGAACAGTTTAAAAATAATTAAATATTTTAGGCCACAATTTAAAACAACCCAATTAAAATCAAATCAAACCCAATTAAAATCAATTAACCAAAAATAGTGGGATCAAGCCAGCCCGTTGCGCTAAGACACAAGCAAGCACATCGTACGATGTGACGTGAAGCAGAATGATAGGATCGCGTCTAAATATAGGGTAACTCTATAGGGTGGTCTTATTTGAGTCAGGTGTTTGATGACGTTTGCTGATCCCGCGCTTGATTTATAGTAATAGATTCACGATTTCAAATAGTTGAAGACGTGTTTGTTTGTTTGTTTGTTTGTTTATTTATTTATTTATTTATTTATTTATTTATTTATTTATTTATTTATCCAACTTGTATGCCGCCTTTCTCCGAAGACTCAAGGCGGCTTACAATGCATTTAAAAACCATATATAAAAACATTAAATTAAACAATTAAAACCCATTCACACCATTCATGGCCGGATCTCTCCAGATCGCAAGAGCGAGATCAACGGCCCCAGGCCTGCCGGAAAAGCCAGGTCTTCACCGCTTTCCGGAAGGCCCATAGGGTGGGGATGGTCCGGACCTCAGGAGGTAACTGGTTCCAGGGAGCTGGGGCAGCCACAGAGAAGGCCCTCCCCCGTGGGCCCGCCAGCCGGCACTGTTTAGCTGACGGGACCCGGAGGAGACCAACTCTGTGGGATCTTACCGGTCGCTGGGAGCTATGCGGTAGAAGGCGGTCTTGATAATAACCTGGCCCAGCTAAAGCTAGAAAGGGAGATGCTCAAGTGTAGCAAAAGTGCAGTTTACTATTGCTTTGGAGGAGGCATTAAATGGCATTGTCAACAATAGCAAAAAAACAATGTGAGTGATGCCTCATTTTTAAAATGTGTCTTATGGCGCAAACTCATCTTGAATTCAATGGTCTGATAGAGTAGTTCTCCTGGTGTTTTTCTTTCCCCACTGGAATTCATTCATCCATTCACCCACTCTTTCATTCATTCATTCCATTCATTCTCTGCAGATCCTCAGAAGTGCATGGCTATTGGCAAAGGCAGTAACTTACACAAAATTCAGAATTTTTGAGAGATTTCCAACGCATGCTATTCTTCCATGGGTTTTTTTTTGTGTGTGTGTGCTTGTGTAGGGCTTGGTCAGTTTGAACAAATTCTGCAATTGAGGGTCTTGCACGTCATAGCTGCCACGTTATAACATTGGTGCCATAAACCATGGTTGACATGAAGCTGAGTTTCTTGAGTTATTGAGATGAGGGTGGATTCCTTTGCCAATTGAGCCTAACACAGGAGTGTCAAACTCAAGGCCTGGATAGCTCAACAGACTAAAAGCCTGTTATTAACATTCAGCTGTCTGCAATTATTGCAAGTTCGAATCTCCCCAGGCTCAAGGTTGACTCAGCCTTCCATCCTTTCTAAGGTAGGTAAATTGAGGACCCAGTTCGTGGGGGCAATAAGCTGACTTTGTATAAATATACAAAAGTATGAAAGCTATTGCTTAACGCATTGTAAGCCGCCCTGAGTCTCCGGAGAAGGGCGGCATATAAATCTAATTTAAAAAAAAAAAAAAGGCCTGGGGGCCGGATTCGGCCCATGGGGCTGACTTGAAAACAGCGAAGGACTGGCCTGCGGTGCTTCTGCCAGCAAAAACAGAGCTCGGGAGGGCCATGGCCGGCCCTTGCGAACTCCGCTTTTGCTGGCAGGGGGTTGCAGGAGGCTGTCGCAGCCGAAAACGGAGCTCGTGAGGACCGTGGCTGGCCTTCCTGAGCTCCGTTTTCACTGGCCGAGGGTTGCAGGAGGCTTTCGTAGCTGAAAACAGAGCTCATGAGGACCGTGGCTAGCCCTCCCAAGCTCTGTTTTCACGGGCCAAGGGTTGCAGGAGGCTGTCATAGCTGAAAATGGAGTTCGTGAGGACCGTGGCTGGCCCTCCCGAGCTCCGTTTTCACTGGCAGAGGGTTGCAGGAGGCTGTCGTAGCCAAAAACAGAGCTCGGGAGCCCGTTTTTGCTGGCGGAGTGCCAGGCCACCACTGGTGCCCCCGACACGAGTGACGTCGAGCAGGCCACGCCCACTCTGGCCACGCCCCCGGCTCCTCTGAGGTGAAACACAACCCTGATGCAGCCCTCAATGAAATCAAGTTTTGACACCCCTGGTCTAACACATCTTCCCTTGGGGTTTATTAGGCATGCATTGATTTATGCTGTTGCTTAACTATATCTATAGTGCTGCCCCAGGGAATAAGTGTACTTCATTGGTAAATCCTTCTATTGGCTTTGCTACAGGTAGTCCTTGTCTTACAACAGTTCATTTAGTGACCGTTCAAAGTTATCCCCGGCACTGGAAAAAAAAGTGATTTATGAGCGTTTTTCACAGTTACAACCTTTGCAGCATCTCCCCCTGGTCATGTGATCAAAATTCAGATGCTTGGCAACTGGTTAATATTTATGACCGGAGCTATGTTCCGACGTTATGTGATTCCTTTTGGCGACCTTCTGACAAGCAAAGACAATGGGGAAGCCGGATTCATTTAACAACCGGGTTACTCATTTATCAGCGGCAGTGATTCACTTAGCAACTGTGACAAGAAAGGTCGTAAAATCGGTCAAAACTCATTTAGCCAATGTCTCACTTAACGACAGGTATTTTGGACTAAATTCTGGTCGAGGACTACCCTGTACTCTTGGGATTTTTGAGAGAACTTTGGAGAAGTCACCTTCAGGAAAGATTGTCTCTTCCGATGTGGGTTGAGTCTGGGCTGTTCAACAGGTTTTGTGGGGTAGGAGAGCAATAGAAAATCCAGTTGCCACTATAGATAGTGCAATAATAACCTTTAATTGCAGTTGTATATTGCTATTTCAGCTTCTGTTATCTATTTGCAAATTAAGCTGAAGTTTTTGTAAGGTCGCTACCACACACAGCTGCAAGTGCAGACCTGTTCCACCTGTGCTCCTCTTATGGGGCAGACGTGATGCTTCTCAGGCTCAAAAGTCACAAAAAAAGGCCGTGTTCGATTTTGTCTCAAAAGGAGAACCGGCCTTGGTCAGAAGCAAGTCTGTCTAGATCAGGGGTGTCAAACTCAAGGTCCGTGAGCTGGATCCAGCCCCCGATGTGATTGGATCCAGCCAGTGGTGCTATTCAGCCGGTTCTATCCGGTTCGGGAGAATTGGTAGCAGTGGCTGCGGGAGGCTCTGCCCACCTACACGGACGTCATCATGTCCTGTTTTTGACGCTCTGCACATGCGCAGAAGGTCCTGCGCATGTGTGGAGGTGGCATGTGTGTTCCCATTTGCGAACTGGTAGTGAAGGTAAGTGAATACCACCCATGGATCTGACCCACGGGGCCATCCTGGAAAATATAAGGGGCAGCCCATGTGTCGTGGTCCGTACGCGGCCTGTGTGGCTCATGGCTGATTCGGACAGTGAGGAGGTTGGTGTGGTGCTGCACCAGCAGCCTGTGCAGCTGGCACTCAGTCAGACAATAAGGCTGGAGAAGATGCGGGGATTCAGCCAGGGCCTTCAGAACCTCCAGAAGCTCCCATAAGTGAAGAGGACAAAGAGGAGGAGCCTCTTCTTGATGCACGGGCGCGCAGAGCTGCCAAAAGGCAGGAGTGGCTCCTCAGGAGGAGATCTCCTTGAGAGTAAGGCTTGGGGCTAATTGGCCACTCCCTTAGCCTATTTAAGGAGGAATGCCGACTGAAGCAATTTGCAGGGAACAACTTCGTTCACTCTCCTTTGTGCCTCAATCTTAGTTCTTTGCAAATTGCTTCTGGGCTTTCTGCCAACCATAGTAAGATTAAGATAATTTATTCTTTGGATTCTTGTAGGCTGTTAAGAAAGTTAATTAACAGCCTTTGTTTGGAAAAAAAAAAACCTTATTTAATTTAGTAAACTAAGGTTTGTACAGACTTTGTGTGTGCTGCGTTCTTTGGAGTCCGTAGCTGGGGCAGAATACCATGAGGCTTCGGCCTGGTTTACCCAGTGTGAAGAGGAAATATACCAGCAGTTTGGGGAGTGGTGTCAAGCTGGCCACACCCACCCAGTCGGCCACGCCAGCCCAGCCTCCCCGAGGTCAACCACAACCCTGATGTGGCCCTGAATGAAATTGAGTTTGACACCCCTGGTCTAGGTGGATCAAGTCTCCCTAATATAATATATATTAGATAATGTAATATTATCGAGTACAGGTAATCCTCGACTTACAACAGTTCGCTTAGTGACCGATCAAAGTTACAGAGGCACTGAAAAAAGTGAGTTATGACCATTTTTCACACTTATGACCATTGCAGCCATCCCCATGCTCACGTGATTTACATTCGGATGCTTGACCACTGACTCATATTTATGACGGTTGCAGTGTCCTGGAGTCATGTGAACCTCTTTTGTGACCTGACAGGCAAAGTCAGTGGGGGAAACCAGATTCACTTAACAACCGTGTTACTAATTTAGCAACTGCAGTGATTCACTTAATGTGGCAAGAAAAGTCGTAAAATGGGGCAAAACTCACTTAACAAATTCTCACGTAGGAACAAAATTGTGGTCGTAAATTGAGAACTATCTGTCTATAGTGTAATTAATGATATAATATTATTGAGTATAATCAATAGAGGTAGTCCTCAATTTACAACAAGTTGCTTAGCGGCCATTCAAAGTTACAAAGGCCCTGAAAAAAAGTGACTTATGACCATTTTTCGCACATATGACGATTGCAGCACTGCCATGGTAATGTGATCAAAATTTGGCATCTGGCTCATATTGCCCTGTCCCAGGGTCACGTGGTCACCTTTTGTGATCTTCTGGCAAGCCACGTCAATGAGGAAGCCAGATTTACTTAACAACCATGTTACTAACTTAATAACTGCAGTGATTCACTTAATAACGGTGGCAAGAAAGGTTGCAAAATGGGACAAAACTCACTTTGAATAAATGATTGTAAGTCAAGGACTATCTGTACATGCCATTATTCCCAGAGGTGGGTTTCAGCAGGTTCTGACCAGTTCTGGAGAACCGGTAGCGGAAATTTTGAGTAGTTCAGAGAACTGGTAGTAAAAATTCTGACTGGCCCCGCCCCCATCTATTCTTTGCCTCCCGAGTCCCAGCTGATTGGGAGGAAATGGGGATTTTGCAGTATCCTTTCCCTGGAGTGGGGTGGGAATGGAGATTTTAGAGTATCCTTCCCCTGCCGCGCCCACCAAGCCATGCCCACCCAGCCACACTCACAGAACTGGTAGTAAAATTTTTTGAAACCTACCACTGATTATCCCACCCCCCCATCACTTCTGTACACTCTGCCTCCCTTCTGCAAGTCTTGCGGTCTATAGTATTATTCCAGGACACAATTGTACAAAGTCTGCATGCAATTTGCAAGTGTGTATTTGGCACCATGCTAAGGATGCCCACAGTTGTCCGATTTCTACACACTTGGAACAAGCAGGCTTTCGGCCGAATCCCCATAGGATGTATTTGCACAACCCAACTTCCTTAAATATCTAGCATGCTGTCTGATGTGCTAAATTTAGTTCGGGTGAATTTCCCTATATATATTAACTTCTGTTTCCAAATATTAGGCAAACACAACATATGGGTTGATTGAATCACCAAGGAAAATGAGTTGCATAAATGCTGTCATGCAGCACACTTTTTTTTTTTTTAAAGGCAGGGTTTTGTTTTGTGCAATCTCAGCTCTATTTTGAGTTTTAAATTCCTTTTTAACACCCTGGTTTATGGATCTCAGCATACCACTCAAGGTGAAATTGTCCCTTCCCTCAAATATTGTGTTTCCCCCGAAAAGTTGTGCCCTCTTGAGCTACAGACCACTGAAGTCGCAACGGTCTTAAACATATGCCTGCCCCCTCTCGAAAGCCTTCAAGGTTATGGAGAAAAAAAAATATCATAACAGCTGCAAGGATTGTATATGCACAAAATTGGAAAGCAGAGAAAATACCTTTGGAAAAAGTAATAAAAAATTTTTTTAGATTGTGCAGAAATGAATAGATTAACTTTGACGATTAAGGATAGAGAAGACTCAGAATATTTTAAAATATGGAATTATTTTTTATCACTGGTTGGAGAAGAGATATAAATGATTAATTATATAAGTATGCATAAATATGTGATGAGTAGAATATTACGTTAGCGATGAATTGATATCATGGATTGGATAAGGATCAAGGTAGAAGAAATAACACATATACAGAAGAGGAAAGAAACTTTGGAAGATAATACCAAGATGTCACAGGGAAGAGATAACTGATGTATTAAATGTTTGTCTTGTCTAAAAAATAAAAAACTTTAAAAAAAAAGGTTATGGAGAAAAAAAAATCAATAACAACAGAGAACATTTACAAAATGCAAGCTAGTCCTCAACTTACAACCGTTTGTTTAGTGGCCGTTCAAAGTTAGAACAGCACAAAAAATGTGACTAACAACCAGTCCTCATCCTTACAATCAGGGGTGAAATGCTCTGAAGTCTGCTACTGGTTCGCTTCACCAGAATCGAGTGTAAAAAATGCTTTAAAAAAAAGTAAAAAAAAAGTTCTGAGATCATGTGGCACAGCTGATTGTCACACAACTGATCCTTGGAACTTTAAAAAAAAAAACTTTTTAAGCATTTTTTTACTACAGATTCGCCCGAACCGATAGCATTCGTTACTACCGGTTCGGGCAAACCGGCCCGAACAGGTAGCATTTCACTCCTGCTTACGATGGTTGCAACATTCCCCCCGGCCATGTGGGCACTTGACAACCAGCTTGTATTTATGATGGTTGCAACATCCCAGAGTCATCACCATTTGAGACCTTCCCAGCTGGTTTCTGACAGGTCAACGAGGCAAGCCATATCCCTTTAACGACTGTATGATTCATTTAAGAACTGCAGTGATTCACTTAACAAACCCAAAAGGCTCATAAAATTGGGCATGACTCACTGAACAGCCACCTTGCTTAGGAACAGAAATTCGCGTCCCAATTATGGTCGTAAGCCAAGGACAACCTGTATTGTGAATAACCGCCTACAAATACCTCTTTTGGTCATGGACATGCACTTGTGAGCTACACTTGTGGTGTGTCACAATTCAAGCACAAGGGCACTGGTCAGTCCAGAACCACTGGGGGGCGGGGGGTCAACTTATTTTCCAAAGCATTAGAGGGCAGGACAAGAAACAATGGATGGAAACTAATTGAGGAGTGAAGGAGAAACTTCCTAACAGGATGATTAACCAGTGGAACAGCTTGCCACCAGAAGTTGTGGGTGTTCCATCACTGGAGGGTTTTAAGAAAAGATTGGCCAGCCACCTATCTGAAATGGTATAAGGTCTTCTGCTTGAGCAGGGGGTTGGACTAGAAGACCTCCAAGATCCCTTCTGGCTCTATTCCAATTGATTGATTGAGAGTTCAGCTGCAGCCAAGGAGGTGTGGAAAATCTTTCCTGCACTTTTGAAAACAAACTGACTTTGCAGAGCAGATGTTCAAAGAGCAGGAAGAATTTGGTGGAGTAAGCTGCGTTCTACTTTACCTGGAGGATGGGCCTGAATTCCTCCTCGTGTTCAGCCAGCCTCGATACTTGATGGCCAGTGGTTGATAGCTGCAACCAGTTTAACAACCGGTTCTGTGAGTACGGGCTTTGCACACGCATGCGGGCTTTGTGTGTATGCACCTAATGCGCTTGTGCGCAGCGTTCAAAATACAGCAATTTGAAGCTCAGCTGCTTATCCCTTAACGGCAGCCCCGGTAAGTAAATCAGCGGAGGCACGCAAATCAGCTGTGTCGCGCAAATCAGCTGAGCCAGAAAGAACGAAATATAGGATAGGATAAGCCAGGGGTGGGTGAGCGAGGCCAGCTGATTGTTGGAACAACCGATTCGTCTGAACCGGTCCGAACTGGCAGCAGCCCACCACTGTTGATGGCCCATTCTCGACCCAAAATGCTTGGCCAGTTATAGGAGGATAAAAATGGGATAAAAATCAAATTAAAAAGGGCAGGTTAAAAAAAAAAAGGTAAAGGGGTCACTGTGGATTTTATTCCGCTAGTTGTTGCCAACTACAGGTTGTGGTTCACCTTATTTGTTCAACATCACTTATGCATGAATGCTCTTAAATTCTACATATTTGATTCCAGATGATAGCATTTCTCAAGTGCTAAAGCTGAGAGAAGAACCATCCAAAGTTCAGGACCTACAAGTGAAGTTCGTTGTTCGTACCACCCCGGATCCCGATGATGCTGACTGCTATCTCAAGGTTGGTCAAGACCATCTGTTGGACGATTGCAACTTCAACATCTCCGCAAAGACCTTCTTCGTTATTCATGGATGGGCGGTAAGTAGAAGGACATTACTGAGCTCCGTGACACATGACAAGCTGTGATTTCTTTTTTTTTACAGTGACTAATTTTGTCAGTATTACCATATCTAGAACCAAGTTATACACAGCTTTGAACCGTCCATCTTTCTTGATGGAATGTACCTTCGACACTGGTCATTTCTAATATTTAGACCTGTGATGGCGAACCTATGGCACGCGTGCCACAGGTGGCACATGGAGACATATCGGTGGGCACATGAGTGTTGCCCTAGCTCAGCCCCAGCACACATGTGCGCACCGGCCAGCTGATTTTCGGGCCTTCCGGTCCCACCGGAAGTTGGCAAATGGACTGTTTCCGGCCTCCGGAGGGCCTCTAGGGGGGTGGGGAAGGCTGTTTTCACCGTCCCCAGGCTCCTAGAAAGCCTCTGGAGCCTGGGGAGGGTGAAAAATGGGCCTTCCACCTGAAGTCGGGAAATGGGCTGTTTCTGGTCTCCGGAGGGCCTCCGGCAGGGTGGAAAAGGCCATTTTCACCCTCCCCAGGCTCCAAGAAAGCCTCTGGAGCCTGGGGAGGGCAAAAAACGGGCCTACCGGGCCCACTGGGCCATCACGTGCCAAAAGCAGGGGGGGAGCATGGGGAGGGGTCGAATGCACATGCACGGGAGGGCGGGACACATTGAATTATGGATGTGGGCACACATGCCCGCGACCCCCCCACGCGACCTCCACTTTTGGCACGCGATGGCAAAAAGCTTAGCCATCACTGATTTAGACCATGAGACCTCACTGAAATATATCAGTCTATTGTTCGCAAGGTTACCTCTGGATAAATTTCAGCCTAATTCAATCAGTGGCATGGCTAGGCAGAAAGAAGGGATCAAGACAACGAATTGGTAATGGGTGCCCCAAGAACCACGAAAAAGTTGGCGCTTGCTAGGAGGAAGACTGACTGGAGAATATTAGGTGTGATGTCCCTCAAATCTTCTGAAAGTATTCAGTTGTTTGTTCCTGTGAAGATAATTGGGAAACCAACTGGGTAATGAAACGTCTGTTTTCTTGCAGACATTTAATTACCCAAACTAGGTAACATGATTAGCACATTAGCTAGTTAAGGTAAGAAAACAACCAAGGTCAGTATTTTGATCTAGGCCTCCCAAGATCATGAAGCAGACTCCTCGTCCCGATAAAACCTCTTTTATTTAGGTTAAAGGGAATTCCTCTCCAGCAAAGTCCCGGCAAACAGTCTTTCATGAGATTTCACAACTACAGGCCTTTATCAGGCTTGGAGGATTGCCAGGCCGATATCTTCCAAGCGCCAGGCTGTAGCAGCAATTAGTTGGCAAGAAGTCAGGAACAGATCTTCACCCTAATGAATTGAACTAAATGTCTCCTGCAAACTCCCCTCCCCTTTGCTCTTCTTTATTTCCTGTGGGAGAGGCCATTCACCGTCCACCTGTGCCTTTATTCCTGAGTCGGCCCTTATTCCTTAGCTGTTCCCTTCGTCTGGCAGCTCTGCGCATGCTCACACTGGGAACAGGCTCCAGCTGTTCCTCTGCCTCATTGATATCCGACTCCGAAGGCAGATGATAACTGTCAGACGGCCCTGGCCCCCTCTCTGCCTCTGACGCAGAGCCCTCATCAGAACCTTCCCCAGACTCCAGGACTGGCCCATGTTCCTCCCCAATTTCCTCACTGTCTGAGTCTGCCACCAGCTCAGCTGGCTGCTGGCAGGCCACAACAGTCAGAGAGCACCAAGGACCCTTCCTGAGCTACAAATTTTCTCCTTTATTGATAATTGGAACTCCACCAGTAGCTGAGTCAGTGCCAACTTTTCCTGGTAAGATGCAGCTTGAAGTTTGGGAGTAATAAGATCATTCCCAGATATTTTCCAACCTTTTGAAAAGAAAAACATGGCACCGTCATTCTTTCTATCCTATCCAAAACAGAGGAAAACATCAGTTTACAGACCCAGCCAAACTGGCAGTTAAATCAAAGATAGGCAGCAGGGGTGGGTTCTACTTACCTTTAATACTGGTTCGCAACGGGATCGCTTGAGAAGCTTCTGCACATGTGCAGATCGCTGATGACGACATCCGGGGTGGTGGGTGGGGTCTCCCCCTGGTTTTACTACTGGTTCTTGCAAACCGGTCCGAACCGGGGGCAACCCACCACTGATAGGCAGTTAGTCAGGGGTGAAATCTACTTACCTTCCTTACTGGTTCGGAAGCGCATGCGCCACCTGTCTGTGCAGACCCTCTGCACATGTGCAAAACCTGCACATGTGCAGAGGGTAAAAAACACACTACTTCCTGGTTAAAACCAGGAAGTAAAGACACCCGGGCGGGTGGGTGAAGCCTCGCACCGCCATCGTTACCGGTTCTCCGAACCACCTGTCACAATCGCTACCGGATCGCCCGATCCGGCCCAAACCAGGAGCATTTCACCCCTGCAGTTAGTGACTTCTAGGAGCTGAGCTACACGGTACATTGACTATCCAGCATTGTTTTGCCTATTTTTAAATGACTAATGTAAGCACGGTCGAACTTCCTGGGTTTTCAAAATTCTTCCCCCTCCAAATGACAAAAATAGTGTATTGGTCCCGATGCAGTTAAAAACAACAAACCTGCGTTAGAGTGTGTGGAGGGGCGGGGAGGGTTAGGTATCCTCCATCAATGTGTCTTGGTCTTGATTAAGATCAGATTCTCCTCTGTGCTTATGTTTATGGAAAAGTGCTTTTTCGAAAGGCAATTGGACTTTGTTTTTCCTTGAAGACATTTTGCTTCTCATCCAAGAAGCTTCTTCAGTTCTGATGGAATGGTGGAGGATCCTTCAGTCAGAACTGAAGAAGCTTCTTGGTTGAGAAGCGAGACGTCTTCAAGGAACAACAAAATCCAGTTGCCTTTTAAAAAAAGCACCTTTGGAACTCCTGTGATTATGCTAGCTTAAGTTAAGAAGGGCCAACTCAAGAATCAGAAAGTTTGAATCAGGATCCAAACATTGAGTTTGAAAAACTGATTTTTTTTTTAATTTTAAAAAACAAACTTTATTGAATTTAAAAATTTTAAAATACAAAATTATACACTTTTTCTCAATCGTAAAATTGCATATACAATACACAACTCCACCGACAAACTAAATATATGTACCTATGTGTACATATATACATACATACATAAACAGTAATTTATTCCTTGTTCTGTCTACCTTACGGTGCTTATTTGTTACCTTAGATTTTTCCTAAATTTAGTCTTTACCCTTTTTTCCTTTGATTTATCCACTTATACCATCTATTCCATACTTCAAAATATTTTGAGTCTTCCTTGTCTTTTAATTTTAAGGTTAATTTATTCATTTTATTATTTATTATTAAAAACTGAATATTTTAATAGCTTTAACGGTTGTTTTTTTTTTTTTTAAATGTGATTTTCGGACAACTGTAAGCCACTTCTCTCACCCTTCTGTTTCACCAGCCTTTTGTTTTGGAAGAAATTGTCCTTGCTAGAAAACCGAACTGATCACTTGTGAAGTTCTTTTGAATTTGGACTGAGGATGACAGGATGCACCTCCTGGTCATCCAAATCTTTTTTTTTTTTTTTAATTTGATTTATATGCCGCCCTTCTCCGAAGACTCAGGGCGGCTTACAATGTGCTCAGCAATAGCCTTCATCCTTTTGTATATTTATACAAAGTCAGCTTATTGCCCCCACAAACTGGGTCCTCATTTCACCTACCTTAGAAAGGATGGAAGGCTGAGTCAACCTTGAGCCTTGGCGAGATTCGAACCCTGCAGTAATTGCAGGCAGCTGGTCTTAATAACCAGCTTAATAACAGGGTGCCTTAAACCCCTGTACTACCAAGGCTCTTTGGATTTGGATTAAGAGCCAGATCCTCTCCCAAGATTACATTCCCCAAATGTATTAACAGCTGCATCCTTCTATTAGAAAATATGTCTTTTCTGAGAGTCTATAGAGATTCTCAGTCATCCAGGTCATGGTTGTCCCAAAGGTGCTTTTTCACGAGGCAACTGGACTTTTCTTGTTTTTTCTTTGAAGAGATTTCGCTTCTCATCCAAGAAGCTTCTTCAGCTCTGTCAGGATAGCCGGAAATGGAAGGATTTATATTCCTTGCAGACAGCTGGTCATTTGCATCCTTTTAGAGGGTCATTGAAGCACTTGGAGGTTTATCTTTATCCTCAGGGTCACCTAAGTTGTACTCCTGGTTCCTGTAGTCTCCAATGTTTCCTCTGGAAATCCATTCCTACTCCCACACCATTCAAAGGGTGTTCATCCCAAATTGTATATGTACCCTGTTTCCCCAAAAATAAGACATCCCCTGATAATATTTCTATTTCAGCAGGCCGGCCTGGCCTAACCTCTCTTTTAAATTGTTTTTAAAATTTTTAAAATTTTTAAATTTTAAACTTGTTTTATGAACTTGGGGTGTTTTAAATTTCGTTTTCCGGGCCAATTATTTAATTGTATTTTAATGGTTTTTTAACATTTATATTATATGTATTTTATTCGGCTGTTCACCGCCCTGAGTCCTTTGGGAGTAGGGCGGTATACAAATTCAATTAATAATAATAATAATAATAATAATAATAATAATAATAATAATAATAATAATAATAATCCCAATCGGGCTTTTGAGTGCATGAACTAAAATAAGCCTCCCCCCAAAAATAAGCCCTCCCCGAAAATATTTAAACGCAGATCTGGAAATCAGGTAAGATGGCAAGAGGAGCCCCATCTTGCTCCACGCGCCCCAAAATAAGACCTCCCCGAAAATAAGGCCAAGCGCTTATTTCGGGGTTAAAAAAATATAAAACAGGGTCTTATTTTCGGGGAAACACGGTAAAAGTCTGTAGAGATTCTCAGTCATGCAGGTCATGGTTGTCCCAAAGGTGCTTTTTCAGGAGGCAACTGGACTTTCTTGTTTTTTTCTTTTGAAGATGTTTTGCTTCTCAACCAAGAAGCTTCTTCAGCTCTGACAGGATAGTGGGGAATGGAAGGATTTACATTCCTTGCAGATAGCTGGTAATTTTTTGAAGTCTTTTGTGAGACTTCAAGCCCTGGTTATAATCTTCCTAGGACTAGAATCAGGGGTGGGATTCAGTCAGTTCAGACCGGTTCGGGAAAACCGGATGTTAATTTTAATCTTTTTCGCCGAACCGGTTGTTCCAAGGACTGGCTAATCCCAACCACCCCTCCCAGGAGTCTCCACATGGCCTGTTTTGGATGCCAGGTAAGTGCAAGGCACGCGCAGAGGCTCTGGAAAGGCGAAAAACAGGCCTATCAGAAGTCAGGAAATGGGCCTGTTTCCGGCCTCTGGAGGGCCTCCAGTGTCCGGGGTAGGCTGCTTTCGCCCTCCTGGAGGCTCGAGGAAAGCCTTCGGAGCCTGGGGAGGCAGAAAACGTCCCCCCACCGTGGTGCAGGAGGCTGAGTAGCCATCCCCCCATGGCCACGCCCACCCAGCAACCGGGCAGCAAACCAGTTGCTGACATTTTTCAATCCCACCCCTGACTAGAATGGAGCCATATCTTGATTATTTTTTTTTCCAGATGGGCGGCATGTACGAAAAATGGCTGGACACCCTGGTCTCAGCTCTTCAACAACGTGAGAAGGAAGCCAACGTGGTGGTAGTGAACTGGCTGGCTCTCGCCCAACAACTCTACACCATCGCCGTCAACAACACGAGGGTGGTTGGAAAACAACTTGCAGAGCTGCTGGACTGGTTAGAGGTAAATTTTACAAGCAAACAAACATTTCACTCGGCAAACCGCACACAAAAGTGACGGCCCAACCTCGCATCAAGCTGATGCTTGGAAGCGCCACATTTGCTCATGCAAGACTTACTACTTGGAGCAGCATGACAAAGCTGGCGGAGTGCCAAAAAGGTGAGGAGAGGAAATAATTGGGGCTGATTACATACCGGATATCTCAGGGACACAATCTACGTGAAAAATGCACTGCCGCTTCATCCTTTGACATCTGCCAATCTGACTCAGGTCTCTTGTTCAGATCTGCTTGGTTAATCCCTAATTGCTTAATCATTCCTTAAGTTATCTGTTCCTTAATCTAGTTAGGTCTCTGCTGTCATTTGAAAATGTGAAGCTTAGGGAAACTGGGGAGTAGGAAATAACATCATTTCACAGATCTTAAATACTAGCCTCCTCACTGGATTTTAGTCAAATACCGAAAAGCCATATACTTGCCTCTATTTTATGCGCATATTTATTCCGCTGATCTCAGTAGGCAGGCCTCGTCCCTTGCAGCCGGCAGCTGTGCCTTAATCCAAATTTGCTTTTTTTTTTCTCTCTCTCTCTCTGTCACAGTTGATTAGTCAACTTCTGTCTTTAATTAATCTGCCTCCCATTGGATAAGCCTGGTCTTCCAAGCTGTTTTATGTAGTTTGGTGTTTAGATTGAGGCCTTCTGTAACCAAACTATACATTTAGAATTTAATTTCCTAGCTGTTCCTTGCTATGGCCCTTTACAGCTGGATTATTTTATAATTTGTAGGGGGAGAATGCATATCTGAGTGGCGGGTGACTAACTGGACATACACTACAGTCCTCAATTGACAGCCCTCAGTCGACTCAGCTAAAGACGCTGAGCTTGTCGATCGGAAAGGTCGGCAGTTCGGCGGTTCGAATCCCTAGTACGGTTCTCCTGCGTGAGCAGGGGGTTGGACTAGATGTCCTCCCAGGTCCCTTCCAACTCTGTTACTGTTACTGCAGTTCATTTAGAGACCATTCAGAGTGACAAAGGCACTGAAAAAAGTGATTTATGACCAGTATTGGGTTTCAATTTAGTTTCCTAATGGGACACAACTCACTTGGCAGCTGTCTTGGTTGTCGTCATTAGTCGAGGACTACCTGTAAAATGCACTATTCTTAGATACCAGTAGTGGGTTGAAAATCCCGTCGCTACCGGTTCGCTCGTGAGCCCGCGCGTGACGCTTCTGTGCATGCACAGAAGCTTCTGTACCAGTGGTGGGTTGCGCCCGGTTCGCAGCGGTTCTATAGAACCGGTAGTAAAACCAGCGGGAGGCCCCGCACACCGACCCTGATATCACCAAAACGCTTCTGTGCATGTGCAGAAGCTTCTACCGGCTCCTTTACTACCGGCCCCTCTGCGAACCGGTAGTAAAGGTAAGTAGAACCCACCCCTGTTCTCAGGGGTGAAATGCTACCAGTTCAGACCGGATCACCTGATCCGGTAGCGATGGCGGCGGGTGGTTCGGAGAACCGGTAGCAAAAATCCCTGCGCCCCCTCCCCCCACCATGCCCAGGATCATCAGAGGCTTCTTCTTCTTCTTTTTTTTTAACTTTTAAAAGCATTTTTTCTATAACCTCTTCTGACGAAAAAACGCTTTTAAAAGTTAAAAAAAAAGTCTCTGATGATCGCGTGGCTCAGCTGGGATCGTCAGAGGCTTTTCAAAGCATTTTTTTCTGTAACCTCTTGGCCGAAGAGGTGGTAAAAAAAATGCTTTGAAAAGTCTCTGACGATCCCAGCTGAGTTGCCTGATCGGCAGAGGCTTTTCAAAGCATTAGAAATAATGTTTTGAAAAGTTAAAAAAAAAAAAAGTTGGCCACGCCCACCCAGTCACATTACCACCCCCACCAAGCCACGCCCACAGAACCGGTAGTAACAAATTTTACATTTCACCCCTGCCTGTTCTGTACATGCGCAGAAGCGTCCAGGCAGGTGGGCGGAGCCTCCTGCCACCACTACCGCTTCGCCCGATCTGGGTCGAACCGGTAGCAACCCACCACTGTTAGATACCCCTTGATTTTTAAAAATGTGGGTTTTCTTCTGGAAGGAAGGTTCTAGCGTGAGATTTTTATCCATTTGTTATGTAATGTGGTGCAGTCACCAGGAACAAAACACGCTCATTTCTCCTCTTAATTGTTGCAGAAGAAGGACTTCCAACTGGAGAACGTCCATCTGATTGGCTACAGTCTCGGGGCCCATATTGCTGGTTACACCGGAAACTATGCCCGAGGAACTATTGGAAGAATTACAGGTAAGGTGGCTTTTTCTTGCTTTCCAAAAAACATGGCAGAGATTTTGTCTCCGGTTTCTGTAACTGCCAGAATGTCCCATTTCGTGCAAGAAGTGGTTTTGAGTAGCCTAAGCAAATTAGTCCAGGGCAACTTTAAGACTCGGGGCAGTGGTGGGTTCCTCCTGGTTCGGTCCGGTTCGGCTGAGCCGGTAGCAGTGACGATATGAACCACCAAACTGGTTCTCCCCCCCCCGCCCTCCCACCCCCCCACGTTATTCTTACCTTTTATTTGGTCCCACCCCCAATCTATTGCTGCCTCCTGAGTCCCAGCTGATGACTAGAGGGGAAAAAAACTGTTTAAACTCTTGCCGCGGGGCTCCAAAGGGCCGTCCTACAGCTGATCAGTGTTAAAAGCAAACAAATGAGTCGGGTCGTAAGTGCGAGGACTGGTCGTAAGTGCGAGGACCTTCCAGAAATGACTCTGACCAGCTAGCCACGCCCACCTAGTCACATGTCCTCCAAGCCACACCCACAAAATAAGCCACGCCCACAGAACCGGTAGTAAAAAAAATTAGAACCCACCCCTGACTCGGGGACTTCAACATGGCTGGCTGAGGAATTTTGAGAGTTGAAAGTCCACAAGTCTTAAAGTTGCCAAGTTTGGAGACCCCTGACTTAGTCGACCCTGACTAAGTTGTGTGCGCGCGTGCGCCCGACTTCAAGTAATTAATCAGAGCCATCCCACTCAAAATAGCCTTGCGTAAACCGATCTCTCTAGGCTGCCTTCTCCACACGCCCTTGGGGGTAATTGCAGAGTTGTGTTTTGATCAAGGCTGGATTGTGGTTAGTGGTGGACGGGGCCAAAGTCAGAAGGCAGGAGGGCATCTCTTTTCGGTCTCTGCCTCCTCGTCTGTCTTCTGCCATGTCATCAGTTTTTTGATTTCCAGTGCCCTCAGCCCTTCATTACACAGGAGAAAAGTTAAGGGGAAAAAAAAAATCTTTTATTGGCATTAGTGGCAGATTTGCACTCCTCAATCCACCCTTAACCTTAATTGCCATGTGAAAAAAAAAGATTTATTTTTTTTTGGAAGGGATCATCCGTGAAACTTCTCTTCCCAGCTCTGCGTGTACGTGTGTACGTACATCTTTTGTGTGCACACATACCACGTGTGTATGTACGCCTTTTGTCTGGGTGCACACACCCAGAACTTCATTTTGCCAAGAATATTTTCCCCAAACTTTGCATCTTGTGGAGGATCTACTTTATAATTCTCCTTCCAAACCAGGCAACTTATCACCCCCAAGGCTGTGAGCGATTCCCAACCCTCTCTCAGTCTCAGAATTGCAGAAAATAGGCTGCTCTTTTGAGGCAAAAATGCACGACAATTTTGCCTCAAAAGTCACCATGGGAGGCATAAAAGTTTCACAGTTCTTTTGTGTATGAAAATCTTCTTCCATTTTCTTTTTTTGCCTTCTGAGATTTCCTACATGTTGGATGCAAGTTCTGTTAGATAGCAAACTAGAACTTGCAAGAAATGTAGCTCCTTTCATTGCCAAAAAACTAAATTTATCAATGTAGGTAGGCCATGGGCTCTGTACAGAAAGCTAGTTTCATATTTTGCGTACCAACCCACCTCCAAATTTGGAAGTTAACCATGAGATCAGGGGTGAAATTCAAAATTTTTCCTCACCGGTTTTGTGGGCGCGGCTTGATGGGCGTGGCAGGGGAAGGATACTGCAAAATCTCCATTCCCTTCCCACTCCTCGGGGAAGGATACTGCAAAATCTCCATTCCCACCCCGCTCCTGGGGGAAGGATATTGCAAAATCTCCATTCCCATCCCATTCCTGGGGGAAGGATACTGCAAAATCTCCATTCCCACCCCACTCTGGGGTCAGACAGAGGTGGTATTTGCTGATTCTCCAAACTACTCAAAATTTCCGCTATCGGAAATTCCCAATTTCCTAACCCACCTCCAAATTTGTAAGTTAACCATTAATCGGGGTGAAATTCAAAATTTTTCCCTACTGGTTTTGTGGGCGTGGCTTGGTGGGTGTGGCAGGGGAAGGATACTGCAAAATCTCTATTCCCTTTCCACTTCTGGAGGAAGGATTGCAAAATCCCCATTCCCTCCCCACTCCTGGGGGAAGGATATTGCAAAATCCCCATTCCTTCCCCACTCCTGGGGAAAGGATATTGCAAAATCTCCATTCCCACCCTACTCTGGGGCCAGCCAGAGGTGGTATTTGCTGGTTCTCCGAACTACTCAAAATTTCCGTTACTGGTTCTCCCGAACCTGTCAGAACCTGCTGAATTTCACCCCTGCATGAGATCCACCATAAGATAATAGTTAAAATAGCATTAAATTTGTCCCTGTTGCTGGTGTAGACTAACCATTCCTCTGATAAGGTACGAACCAGGTTCTTCTAGGTGGGGCACGATGGCCCCTTGATGACTTGTGGACTTCAACTCCCAGATTCCTGAGTCAACTGGCTCAGGAATTCTGGGAGTTGAAGTCCACAAGTCATCAAGGGGCCACCGTTCCCCACCTCTTGTTCTAGGAGAACAATGACCTTCAATTATGGTGAAAGACTAACCACATGCCTTGGATATTCCAGGCTTGGATCCAGCTGGGCCGATGTTTGAAGGAGCCGATCCAAGCAGACGTCTCTCTCCCGACGACGCGGATTTTGTCGATGTCTTGCACACATACACAAGAGAAACATTGGGCATCAGCATTGGGATCCAGATGCCTGTGGGTCACATTGACATTTACCCCAATGGAGGAGACATCCAACCAGGATGTGGCCTTACTGACATCTTGGGAACGCTCGCTTTAGGGGGTGAGTTGACTCTTCTGCTTGTTCTATATGAAGTTGCTTCAGAGAGAAGGGGCTTCCCAGAGGCAGGAATGCCACATTGGACTCATTTCCAAGGGGAAATTGGGAATGTCTTCTGAGATGGACAGCATTTCTCTGAGGAAGATAGTGTAACAGTTGATATCGAACAAGGGTGTTCGTAAAATAATCCTTGTACAAATGGATACCCTGGCATGAGAGCCAGTTTGGTCTAGTAGTTAAGGTATTAGGTTAGAAAGCCGGAGACTGTGAGTTCAAGTCCCACCTTAGCCATGAAAAGCAGCTGGATGACTTTAGGTCAGGGGCGTCAAACTTAATTTCATTGAAGGCTGTATCAGGATTGTGTTTGACCTGGAGGTGGGTGTGGCCAAGGTGGGCATGGCCAGCTTGACATCACTCATGTCAGGGGCACCTGTGGCAGCCCAAGCGCTCTACCAGTGAAAATAGGCTCCTGAGTTCCGTTTTCAGCTGAGACGGCCTCCTGCAACCATCTGCCACCGAAAACGGAGCACGCGGCCTTCCCAAGCTCCATTTTTGCTGGCAGAGGCACCGCGGGCCGGTCCTTCGCCGTTTCTGGGATGGCCCTACGGGCCAGATCTAAACACCCCGCAGGCTGGATTCAGTTCCCGGGCCTTGAGTTTGAAACCTCTGCTTTAGGCCAATTGCCAGGAGAAGGTGAATTCTAGTCTCACCTTAGGTATGAAAGCCAGCTGGGTGACTTTGGGCCAGTCACTCTCTCTCAGCCCAACCCACCTCCTGTTGTGGGGAAAATAGGAGGAGGAAGGTGTATTGGATATGTTCACTGCCTTGAATTATTTCTAAAAATAGTAAAGATGGGATACAAATGAATAAATAAATACCCTACCTTGAAATATTCAACAAATGGTCTCAGGTAAGACGTATGAAGGCTTAGCTGTATAAACCCAATCTACAAGATAAATATTTTATGATCCACCTGTCCCTACTTTAACAGGAACAGAGTTGGAAGGGACCTTGGAGGTCATCTAGTCCAACCCCCTGCTCGCACAGGAGACCTGTACTGTCTTAGCCACTGAGCCATCTAGTCAGGCATTACTTGGCTTAAAGTGGAGGTCATATGATGGATTTTCTATTTTACCCTCCTAACAATCCAAGGAGATAGCTAAGCAAAGAGACACTTATTGCCTATGTTCACACAAGATGTTTAATTCATTTTCAGGTTTTACACAATACTGGTGATTTGGTCTGATTTAGGAGAATTAGTTATTCCATTGTTGCATGGATTACAGCTAAGCCTAAACCTCACGCTTTTCTCGCTGGGCTTGTGCAAACTGGAAAGGAAAACGCAGAGCATGTCAGGATTGGCATTTGCAGATAACCCTAGATTCTTAACTGAATTATGTTATTGAGCTTCTGGACCATCAGGTTATCTAGGCAGAGCAGGAAAAAGTGAGGTTATCAATGGAATGTATAGAGCCTTAAACATCTAATTAAAAAAGAAATCATTTAGAATAGAATAGAACTGTGATGGTGAACCTATGGCACGCGTGCTACAGGTGGCACACGGAAACATATCGGTGGACACATGTGCGTGCTGGCCAGCTGATTTTTGGGCCTTCCGGTCCCACCGGAAGTCGGGAAACGGACTGTTTCTGGCCTCCGGAGGTCCTCCAGCGGGGTGGGGAAGGCTGTTTTCGCTATCCCCAGGCTCCTAGAAAGCTCTGGAGCCCGGTGAGGGTGAAAAATGGGCCTTCCACCGGAAGTCGGGAAATGGGCTGCTTCTGGTCTCCGGAGGGCCTCCGGCAGGGTGGGGAAGGCCATTTTCACCCTCCCCAGGCTCCAAGAAAGCCTCTGGAGCCTGGGGAGGGCAAAAAACGGGCCTACCGGGCCCACCGGGCCATCACGTGCCAAAAGCAGGGGGGGAGCGTGTGTGTGTGGGGGTCACATCCACATGCACGGGAGGGCGGGGCACATTGAATTATGGATGTGGGCGCGCATGCCCACGACCCCCCCACGCGACCCCTGCTTTTGGCACGCAACGGCAAAAAGGTTAGCCATCACTGGAATGGAATAACAGAGGTGGAAGGGACCTTGTAGGTCATCTAGGCCAACCCCCTGCTCAAGCGGGAGACCCAGCCTATACCATTTCAACCAGATGGCTGTCCAGTCTCTTCTTGAAAGCCTCCAGTGATGAAGCTCCCACAACTTCTGAAGTTGTTCTGTTAGGAAATTTCTCCTTAGTTCAAAGTTGGTTCTCTCCGTGGTTAGTAAAGAATCAAGAGCCTTGGTAGTACAGTGGTCTAAGCACCCTGTTATTAAGACCAGCTGCCTGCAATTACTGCAGGTTCGAATTTCGCCAGGCTCAAGGTCGACTCAGCCTTCCATCCTTTCTAAGGTAGGTAAATTGAGGACCCAGTTTGTGGGGGCAATAAGCTGACTTTGTATAAATATACAAAAGTATGAAGGCTATTGCTTAACGCACTGTAAGCCGCCCTGAGTCTCCGGAGAAGGGCGGCATATAAATCAAATTAAAAAAAAAAGTAAATTAGTAAAGAATCAAAATAAAAAGGCAAACATGGAAGAAAGGTTAAGGCAAACTAAGCACTCCTAGTTTCAGTATCCACATTCCAGAGGGATGTCAAGCTATTTCTCCAAACGTCTTCAGTTCTCCAGGAATAGCAACAAGGACCACATTTTCTAACCTTTTATTTTCAAGAAAGGGCATCCAACTCAAAGGGAAGATTTTTATTTTTTTTTTATGTGTGGAAGATTTTTCTCTCTCTCATTCTTCCAATCCAAAACCACCGCACTTCTCAATTTAACTCTGGTTAAATCGTATTATTCCGAACAGATTCTTGAATTTGTGATGAGGAAAGTCCACCCTATTCGAAATGTGGTGGCTTCTCAAAATTTGAAAATCCTGTCTCTGTTGTTGTGACAATTCTCTAAGGTTTACAACTTTAGGAGGTTTCCAGCCAATGATTTGGCACTTTTTAGTTCTCATTTGGATGAACCAGTTGTGCATATTTGCCTAATTTAGCCCACCATTCCTTGCAGAAGACAATATATTAAAAACTGACTGAGCTGCCTTGAGATTTGTACACCATGCAAAAACACCGATGGAGGCACATTAATTAAGCTTAGGATATGATGGAAATGCATTACAGGTATACCTCCATGACCACAGTTGAGTCCAAAATTTCCATTGCTAAGTGGGATAAGTTGGTAAGTGAGTTTTGCCCCATTTTACAACCCTTCTTTACAGATTAACAGAGTTGGAAGGGATCTTGTGGGTCATCTAGTCCAACCCCCTGCCCAAGCAGGAGACCCTACACCATTTCTGACAAATGGCAGTCAAATCTCTTCTTGAAAGTCTCAAGTGATGGAGCTCCCACAACTTCTGAAGGCAACTTCTGTTCCATTGTAGGTCATCTAGTCCAACAACCCGCCCAAACAGGAGATCCTTATAATACTATATCTGACAGATGGCTGTCCAGTCTGTTCTTGAAAGCTTCCAATGATGAAGCTCCCACAACTTCTGAAGGCAACTTCTGTTCTATTGCTTGGTTATTCTCACTGTCAGAAAATTTCTCCTTATTTCCAGGTTGAATCTCTCCTTGTTCAGTTTCCATCTATTATTCTTTGTCTGGCCTACAGATGCTTTGGAAAATAGCTTGACCCCTTCCTCTCTGTGGCAGCCCCTCAAATATTGCAACACTGCTATCCTGTCTCCCCTGGTCCTTCTCTTCACTAGACTAGCCATGCCCAGTTCTTGCAACCGTTCATCGTATGTTTTAGTCTCCAGTCCCCTCATCATCCTGGTTGCTCTTCTCTGCACTCTTTCTAGACTCTCAACCTCTTTTTTATAGTGTGGTGACCAAAACTGGATGCAGTATTCTAGGTGTGGTCTTACTAAGGCTTTATAGAGTGGTATTAGTACCTCACTTGATCTTGATTGTATCCCTCTGTTAATGCAATTTAGGATTGCATTGGCTTTTTTGGCTGTCGCTGCACACTGTTGGCTCATATTTACTAGGTTGTCCACTTAGACTCCAAGATCCCTCCCACCACAGATATTAAGTGGCTGCAGTTGTTAAGTTAGTAACACGGTTGTTACGTGAATCTGGCTTCCCCATTGACTTTGTTTGTCAGAAGGTCACAAAAGGTGACCCCATGACCCCGGGACACTCCAACCATCATAATATGAGCCATTTGTCAAGCGGCCGAATTTTGATCATGTGAATGTACAGCCCTCTCTAAGCGGTTTTTACAGAGTCAGCCTATTGTCCCCAACAATCTGGGTCCTCATTTTACCCACCTCGGAAGGATGGGAGGCTGAGTCAACCTTGAGCCTGGTGAGATTCAAACTGCCAAATTGCAGGCAACCGGCAGTCAGCAGAAGTAGCCTGCAGTACTGCACTCTAACCACTGCGCCACCACGGCTCAAATGGTTGTAAGTCAAGACCTTCCTGTATTGTTACTGTCTTTTCCCTGATTTGATGAACCATGTTGTGTGAACATAACGACTGAGAAAGGAAAGTAGAAAGGAAAGAAGGGAGGGAGATGGAAGAAATTGAGAAGAAAGATTGCTGTACAATAAAAAAGATGAAATGGAAGAAAGGCAACCCCGAACATGCATAAATGCACTAGGATAAAGAATGAGTTATTTAAAAAATAAAAGAGAATAAATATGAGTTAAAAGAGAAAAATTAGAATTTGAGGGCAAATAAAGATGTTGTTTATACAAATAAGCATAGAAATTTTAAGACACAAAAAAACGGAAAAAGGAAATTTTGGCAAAATTTTTTACTGAGTAAAATGTATTTGAATATGTTAAATTGTATAAGTTATGATATGGCCAATACTCTGTTCATAAAATATGCAGGGGAAAATGGGGGGAAAAATCAATAAAACTTGATTAAAAAAAAAAAAAAACTACTGAGAAAGTATTTCAAACAGTCTCCAAGACAAAATCCAATGCAGCTTCTACATCTTTGGCCTTTCTTTCCATAAGAGCCTCCTTGTGAGCATTAGAGCAGGATAATGCCCAGTGAAATATTAATAAAATCATCGGCATCTTCTCTTTACCGTGTATATACTAGATGGCTTTAGGCCTCCAAGTTCAGTTTTGAGGCACCAAAACTGACTTATATTTCAACGTTGCTTTAAAGCAGCTGCCTCCTAAATATTTTGGCCTGTAACCAGTGGGTGTCTGGTGGTGGTGGGGAGGGAGCCAAAAAGCAGATAAAATAACAATGTTGGAAGGGACCTTGGAGGTCTTCTCGCTCAACCCTCTGCTCAAGGAGGAGACCCTATAGCAGGAGAACACTGCTATCATGTCACCCCTAAAACTTCTTTTCATTAAACTAGAGGAGGAGGAGGAGGAAGAGGAGGAGGAGGGGAAGGAGATGCCATCTTGCTGATGTTGACCCTCTCACATGGCTGTTGCTGCTGAGATTGGTTCCCATAAGACACTGAGGCAGTGGTGGGTTCCTCCCGGTTCGGCCTGGTTCGGCCGAGCCGGTAGCGGTGACGATATGACGTCACTGGACCGGTTCTGCCCCCCGGCCCCCTGCGTTATTCTTACCTTTTATTTGGCCCCACCCCCAATCTATTGCTGCCTCCTGAGTCCCAGCTGATCTGCTAGAAGGAAAAAAGCTGTTTAAACTCTTGCCGTGGGGCTTCAAAGGGCCGCCCTACAGCTAATCAGTGTTAAAAGGCAGTGTGCTAGTAGACCAGTGCCTCCAAAAATAAATTAGTAGACCAGTGCCTGCAAAAACAAATGGGTAGACTAATGCCTGCAAAAATAAATGGGTAGACCAGTGCCTGCAAAAATAAATGGGTAGATTAATGCCTGCAAAAATAAATGAGTAGTCCAGTACCTGCAAAAATAAATGGGTAGACTAATGCCTGCAAAATTAATGAGTAGACCAGTGCCTGCAAAAATAAATGAGTAGACCAGTACCGTCAAAAATAAATGAGTAGACCAGTGCCTGCAAAAACAAATGGGTAGACTAATGCCTGCAAAAATAAATAGGTAGACCGGTACAGCTCTGCAAGGAGTTAAAAGCCTGGTAGATCAGTACCTCTGCTAAATCCTAAAGAATTGTCACATGACCATCAAGCCACGCCCACAAAATAAGCCATGCCCACAGAACTGGTAGTAAAAAAATTTAGAACCCACCCCTGTACTGAGCAGTATGATCCAAAGCCCTGTTCCGGAGAGGCATTATGGGATCGGTAGCCCCAAAATTCTGGAAGGAGCCCAGTCTAGGAAAGGCTGCATTTAAGGGTTTCAAGTTAGAACATCCTCCGGAAGGACTTTAAACTACAACACGCACTTTATAAATGCAAAGCCGTTATTTAAACGTCAGACATCTTTCTTGGGACCCTCAGTCATGGCAATAGGAAGGAAGAGTATGCCCATGGGGCCGCTTGGCTAATGAACCTTGAGGCTTTGTGATAATTGGCAGCCGCTTGGAAAACTCATGCCTTCCCAGCCAAAAATACAAAGCCATTTCAGTTTATGAAATGTTTCCAACTGGTTCTGCGCCGTCCTTATTATTTAAATGATATGTGGGTCCTTTGGGTTGCGCTGCAACATTCTTGGCTAGTGGCCTCTCTGGTTCTTGGCCAAGCTGAGCTCGTGCTTGCGCTGCGCTCCGAAAATCACCGAGAACCATAAATTTCGCTGCTGCCCATGGGCAAATGCTTCTCCCTTTTGGCTGAGCAGGAGAATGCGAAAGGCACTGCAATTCAATTCGGAATAGAGATGGAAGGGACCTTGGAGGTCTTCTAGTCCAGCGATTTCCAACTTTGGCAACTTTAAGACTTGTGGACTTCGACTCCCAGAATTCCTCAACCAGCAAAGCTCTGAACCAAAGTTGAAGTCCACAAGTCTCAAAGTTGCCAAGGTTGGAGACCCCTGTTCTAGTCCAACCCCCTGCATAAGTAGGAGACCTAGTGTTAAGGATATTGGTGTTGTGTTACCAACCAGCAGAGTAAATGCACAAGGAAACGTTGCTGAGAGCAATGAATAAGAGATATGCAAACTGGTTTATCAAAAGCTTACTTTATAGTAGAAAAACAGTCTCATAGTCTTTAAACAAATTCCAAGTTTTTGCCATTTAAATCAGTCCAGTAGTTACAGAATCTTCTTACTCAACAAACAGTAGTTGGTTAGAATAACAAACTCACTCTGGTTCACAAACCACGATGGTAGCAGATCCATCAAACCATGATTAGCAGATAGCAACTCCTCTCAATGGTAGCTTATCATAGCAACTCCACACACAATGGTAGCATATCACATCAGCTCCATACACAATGGCAGCATATCATAGCAGCAACTGAACACATTACAGTACCTTTCTTAAATACATTCACAACCAGTCATTATCTAATTACAGCATGACTCAGCATTACAATGATTCAGCAGTAAAGCCTTAAAGTCACACAATACATATTCATATTAAAGTCACAGAACACATATATTGCCTGGACAATTTGTTAGGCTCAAACCATATCCTAACACCTAGGGGTCCCCAACCCCCAGTACATGAACTGGCACTGGTCTGTGAGATGCCAGCAACCAGTCTGTGCAAACAAGTGAAGCCCCATTTGTGGGATATAGGCGGCATTCAAAACGACGCCCCCTCTGGTCCGTGGAAAAACCTTTCTCCACAGAACCATACCCTGGTGCCCAAATGGTTGTGGGGCTCTGCCCTATCCCATTTCAGACAAGTGGCTGTCCAGTCTTTTCTTAAAAACCTCCAGTGAAAATATATTTTACATTAATATAAAAACTATACGCTGCTATGGGTCCATGTGAAGTGTGGCAGTGCCTACACAAGGTAACAGAATAACCAAAGGTGGTATTCAGCTTTTTCAGACGAACTGGTAGTGATGACCTAGTGATGACCTGCGGGTGGGCCTGCCCACCCACCCGGGTGCAATCCCGTGTTTTTGATGTTGCGTGTAAGTGTGGACAGCGCGCATGAGCGAATTGCTGTGTTGTTTGACATCACACGTACATGTGGACAGAGCATGCGAGCAAATTGTTGTGTTGTTTGATGTCGCACGTATGTGTGGACAACGTGTGCGAGCAAATTGCCATGTTGTTTGATGTCGCATGTACGTGTGGAGTGCGTGCGAGCAAATTGCCGTGTTGTTTGACGTTGCACGTACGTCTGGACGGTGCGTGTGAGCAAATTGCCATGTTGTTTGATGTCGCATGTACGTTTGGGCGGATGTGCGAGCAAATTGCCATGTTGTTTGATGTCGCATGTACGTGTGGACGGTGCGTGCGAGCAAATTGCCATGTTGTTTGACGTATGTACGTGTGGACGGCGTGTGCAAGCAAATTTCTGTGTTTTGTGATGCCGCACACCAGTGGTGGGTTGCCTCCGGTTCAGTCCGGTTCTTGCGAACCGGTAGTATAACCGGGGGAAAGCTCTGCCCACCCACCCGGATGTTGTCATTCACTCACGTGTGCGCGTGATCCCATTGCGAACCGGTAATAAAGATAAGTAGAACCTACCTCTGCTGCACGTATGTGTGGACGGTGCCCACTCACATTTCCGGTGCTGGGCGAACCGGTTGCTATAGTATGTGAATCCCACCTCTGAGAATAACAGAGTTGGAGGGGATCTTGGAGGTCTTCTAGTCTAACCCCTCTGCTCAGGCAGGAAACCCTATAGAATTTCAGACAAATGGTTGTCCGATCTCTTCTTTAAAAGCTTCAGTGATGGAGCAAGCACAACTTCTGGAGGCAAGTCGTTCCACTGATTAATTGTTCTCACTGTTAGAAACTTTCTCCTTAATTCCATGTTGCTTCTCTCCTTGATTAGTTTCCATCCATTGTTTCTTATCCTGACCTCTGGTGCTTTGGAATATAAATTGACTTCCTCTCTTCTTTGTGGCAGCTCCTCAAATACTGGAACACTGTTATGTCTGTTAGGAAATGGTTATTTGTCTAAGTAGTTGGTCAGGCAATATATAAACCAACAATGTATGTTTGCAGTCAGAAAGGTATTATATTGCTTTAAGACTGTATTGCATCATCCTGTATCCTGAATGGCTAAGCTCTGTAGCCAATGTACTTAAGGGAAGTCAGGATCATGGCTTGTGTGGACACTACACCATTTTACCTGCTTATTTGCTGTAACTCTCTACCTGATCTCTCTGCATGATCACTGTTTGATCATAGCTACATGTTGCTTTCTACTATTTATTGAATGTTTTGATATTGAACTTGTTCCTGTTTGAAACTCAAGAAGAACTGTTTTAATGTGTATGACTACAACTGGTAAGAAGACTTTGTACTTGAAATATCCCTGGATTGATCTTTTAACTCTCGTCTTATCTGTGTATGACTTGGATTGTTTTTGGATTTTGCTTTACTTTTTCTAAAAGTAAAAGACTACAACAACTCAGTGTGTTTGTATGTTGACTGTGATTGTTCACAACCATTCCCAGTCGCTTTTCATGCGTTTACTCAAAGGGTACTCTGCTCAATAACCTACAACATCGGTTGTGAGCCAAGAATATCCTTAACAATGTCATTAACTAGATAAACCCAATTCCTGCAACCGTTCTTCATATGTTTTAGTGTCCAGGTCTTTAATCATCTTAGTTGCTGTTCACTGCACTTTTTCCAAAGTCTCAACATCTTTTTTGTAAAGTGGCGACCAAAACTGGATGCAGTATTCCAGGTGTGGTCTTACTAAGGCTTTATAAGGCGGTACTAATACTAATACTTCACGTCATTTTGATTCTGTTCCTCTATTTATACAACCAAGGATTGTATTCGTTTTTTTGGCTGCTGCCGCACCCAACAGGCACATGTTTAAGTGATCGTCCACTGGGACGCCAAGGTCCTAATGATTTCTGTGCTCCATCTCCCCACCCCTCTAGAGCTTGGGGACCTTGTGATATGCGAACACGAGCGGTCAGTGCACCTCTTTGTGGACTCGCTTGTGAACAAGGACAAGCAGAGTTTTGCCTTCCAATGCACGGATTCCGGACGCTTCAAGAAGGGCATTTGCTTGAGCTGTCGGAAGAATCGCTGCAACGGCATCGGATACAACACCAAGAAGATGAGGAACAAGCGCAACAGCAAGATGTACCTCAAGACAAGGGCTGGCATGCCTTTCAAAGGTAAGGTGAAAATTTGGGGCTCAATTTTGTTCGTAAGTCAAATTTCCGTTGCTAAGCGAGACAGTGGTTAAGTGAGTTTTGCCCCATTCTGTGACCTTTCCTGCCACCATTGTTAAGTGAATCACAGCAATTGTTAAGTTAGTAACACGGTTGTTAAGTGAGTCTGGCTTCACCGTTGACTTTGCTTGTCAGAAGGTCGCAAAAGGGGATCCCATGACCCCGGGACACTGCAACCATCATAAATATGAGCCAGTTGCCAAGCGTCCAAATGTTGATCAGGTGACTGTGGGGTTACTGTGTGAAAAACAACCATAAGTCATTTTTTTTCAGTGCCGTTCCCCAGTCCATGGGAAAGCCAGATTCACTTTACGACTGTGTTACTAACTTAACAATTGCAGTGATTCACTTAACGACGATGGCAAGAAAGGTCGTAAAATGATGCAAAACTCACTTAACAACTGTCTTGCGATGGAACTTTTGGACTCAATTATGCTCATGGTCCATGGACTGCCTACAGTTAATTTACCGGTGTGCAAGAGCTTTGCTGTGGATCAAAGACAGCTGCCTTCTTTCTCCTCCATGTAGTACGGAATCCAACATCCATGCCCTACTGCTTTTCTGGTTCTCTCTAGTCAGCGGTCAATTTCAGATTATGTTACTACCGGTTTGCCCCGCGCGTGCATGCGCCCGGTTCACACATGCACCTGCCTTCCACACATGTGCCCAGCATTCTGCACATGTGCTTTGCTCACATGCGTACCTTCTATGCATGCACTCGCCCTCAAACATGTGCCTAAATAGGATGGCATAGAGCTGGGGTTGGTGCTGGGCCCACCTGTAATTTCTGCTACCAGTTCGGGCAAACCAATCTGAACCGGCTGAATATCACCTCTGTCTCTAGTCTTCTAGTTTGGGGCACCAACAACACATATGGCACTCAGATCCTCTGCCCCTTGGACCCTCCCCTTGCAAGCCATGTCTGCTTATGTTACCACAAATTTGCAAGTCTAATTTTGGGCTCTTGTCTTCCCGCAGTTTTCCACTATCAGCTGAAGATCCATGTCTTCAGCTACAAAAGTCTGGGAGAAACCGAACCAGCATTTTCCGTCACCTTCTATGGGACCAGTGGAGATTCTGAACCTCTACCTCTGGAAGTGTAAGTGGAAAATTTCAAATATCAGTCATTCTCGTTAAAGTTGAGATTGTTTTTTCTAAGAAGGCCACCTCCATGTTTTGTTTCCTCAACTCTGTCCTAGGAAGACTTGGTAGATCCCTTGTTTTAAAGAGGGGAACAGTCCAGAGCCTTGGTAAGACCACACCTGAAATACTGTGTCCAGTTTTGGTCACCACGTTACAAAAAAAGATGTTGAGACTTTGGAAAAAGTGCAGAGAAGAGCAACTAAGATGATTAAAGGCCTGGGGACTAAAACATATGAAGGACTTGGGTTTGGCTAGTCTAGTGAAAAGAAGGACTAGGGGTGACATGATAGCAGTATTCCAGTATTTGAGAGGTTGCCACAAAGAAGACACATTGTCTGAAATGGTATAGGACAGTGATGGCTAACCTTTTTGCCGTCATGTGCCAAAAGTGGGGGTCGCGTGGGGGGTCGTGGGTGCGTGTGCCCACATCCATAATTCAATCTGCCCGCTCTCCCTTGCATGTGCACGTGACCCCCCACACACACTTCCCCCTGCTTTTGGCACGCAATGGCCCGGTGGGCCCGGTAGGCCCGTTTTTCCACCTCCCCAGGCTCCAGAGGCTTTCTAGGAGTCTGGGGAGGGCAAAAACAGCCTTCCCCATCCTTCCGGAGGCTGGAAACAGCCAGTTTTCCGACTTCCGGTGGGACCGGAAGGCCTGAAAATCAGTTGGCCGATGCACGCATGCCCTGGAGCTGAGTTAGGGCAACACTCACATGCCCACCAATATGGCTCCGCGTGCCACCTGTGGCACCCGTGCCATAGGTTCGCCATCATGGGTATAGGATCTTCTGCTGGAGTAGAAGGCTAGACTAGAAGACTTCCAAGGTACCTTCCAGCTCTATCCTGATATTCCGATATTCAGGGAAGTTCTCAAATGTCTTTGTGTTCCTACACCGCATGTATTAGCACCCCTATAATTTGAAATTAGGATTGGGAACTTCCAGCTCGTGGGTCTAATCCAGGGGTGAAATCCAGCAGGTTCTGGAGAACCGGTAGCGGACATTTTGAGCAGTTTGGAGAACCGGCAAATACTACCTCTGGCTGGCCCCAGAGTGGGGTGGGAATGGAGATTTTGCAATATCCTTCCCCCAGGAGTGGGGTGGGAATCAGTGATGGGTTGCCCCCGGTTCGCACTGGTTCTATAGAACCGGTAGTAAAACCGGCGGGAGGCTCCGCCCACCAACCCTGACGTCATCAAAATGCTTCTGCGCATGCTTCTGCACATGCCCCGTTGTGAACTGGTAGTAAAGGTAAGTAGAACGTACACCTGGTGGGAATGGGGATTTTGCAGTATCCTTCCCCTGCCACGCCCACCGAGTCACGCCCACCAAGCCACACCACACCACACCATGCCCACCAAGCCACGCCCACAGAACCAGTAGTAAAAAAATTTGGATTTCACCACTGGTCTAATCCATCTCTTCAGCTTAACTCTTGAACCCCTTGCCGTCTTCCCTCTGGAACAAGGCTGAGCTGGTGGAGGAATGATCATCTGTTCAATGTTGGCTTCCTTTTCAGATCTGATCAAATTGGCCTGAACTATACAAACACCTTCCTGGTCTACACAGGGGAAGATTTGGGTGATATTCTAAAGATCAAACTCACCTGGGAAATCACCACTAAGTCCTGGTACAACTTTTGGAGCCAAATGAAAACATACTGGTCCAAGTCCGATCCGTCATCCAAAGAACTACAGATCAGACGGATCCGCGTGAAGTCGGGCGAAACACAGAAGAAGTAAGGATCTTGGTGAAGGATCACCAGTGGGGAGCAAGTGGTGTAACATTCCACTGTCTATTTCTGTTGGTCGAAATGGCTGGGAGGGAAGGGATGCTCAGTTTGAACTAAACAATTCACCCGTGCATGTACGTTTATGTACAGGTAGTCCTCGACTTAAACGGTTCATTTAGTGACCGCTCAAAGTTCCAACGGCACCGAAAAAAGGGACTTGTGAACGTTTTTCACATCTGACCGTTGCAGTATCCCTGTGGTCACGTGATCAAAATTCAGGCGCTTGGCAACTGATTCATATTTATGACGGTTGCAATGTCCCCGGGGTCAAGTCACTCTTTGGCAACTTTCTGACAAGCAAAGTCAATGGGGACGCCAGATTCACTTAACAACCCGTTACTAACTTAGCAGCTGGCGTGATTCACTTAACAAATGTGGCAAGAAAGGTCATAAAATGAGACAAAACTCACTTAACAAATGCCTCGCTTAGGAACACAAATTTGGGGCTCAATTGTGGTCGTAAATCGAGAACATGAAGGTGCATGTTCCCAGAGTAGTAAACTCAATGGGGGAAGCTGGATTCGCTTAATGACCATGGGATTCAAATAACGCCTGCAATGATTCTTTTAACCGTGACAAAAAAAAAATATCGTAAAATCAGGAAGCAACTGGCTTAATGACCCCCTTGCTTAGCAATGTAAATGTTAGTTCCAATTGTGGTCAGAAGTCGAGGACTAGCTCTATTTTGCTTTTCAGCATTTCTTTTTTCAAAAATTAAAACAAACTCCCACCCACACCCCTGGAAATCAAAATCAGGTGAAATAAAGTGCAAAGAAAGGGATTTGAAAGGGGATGATAGGATGTTAAAAATGATATTAAAAAAAATAAGAAAATGATGTTAAAAAAGCAGTGAATACATTCTCGTAGCTATTTTAGTTGTGAATCCTCATAATCTGGTTTCATGTTCAGGTTATAAATTAAAATTGCTTTTAGAAGCAGGATTTTAGTTAGCAAAAATAAAAAGGCCTGAATAATACCTTAAGCCAGAGGTCTTCAAAGTTAGCAGCTTTAAGACTGATGGACTTCAACTCCCAGAATTCTCATGACCCTAACCCAGAATTCTCATTTTGGGAGTTGAAGTCCACCACTCTTAAAGCTGCCAAGTTTGAAGGACCTCTGCCTTCAAACCCACATCTTTACAAAAGGACTCAAGGATATAGTTGAAATAACCTTTTTACAAACTGGAAAATTAATTTAAGGGAAACAGTCTGTTCATCTGTTATTTTCCCATAAATATAATTTAAACTATCCCCAATCTATAAAACTTTTGGTTTTTCAATGATAATAGATGTCAAACAACTCTTCGTAGAAAGTATCTGTCGGAGGAAATGTGAATGACCCAGAGAACAGCTCTCTCCGTGTCTCTTTGTGTGCTTGAGTTTAAAACTTCATATTTATCTATCTATCCAGTAAGAATTTTTATCTATGGGGATCCTTGGTGCTCTCTGAGCTAGGTTGTTTCCTTGCAGATATTTCAGGGGTGGGCTCTAAAATTTTTTACTACCGGTTCTGTGGGCGTGACTTATTTTGTGGGCATGGCTTGATGGTCATGTGACAATTCTTTAGGATTTAGCAGAGGTACTGGTCTACCAGGCTTTTAACTGCTTGCAGAGCTGTACTGGTCTACTCATGTATTTTTGTAGGCACTAGTCTACCCATTTATTTTTACAGGCACCAGTCTACTCATGTATTTTTGCAGGCACTGGTCTACCCATTTATTTTTGCAGGCACCGGTCTACTCATTTGTTTTTGGAGGCACCGGTCTAACACCAAACTGCCTTTTACCACTGATCAGCTGTAGGGCGGCCCTTTGAAGCCCCACGGCAAGAGTTTAAACAGTTTTTTTCCTTATAGCCCATCAGCTGGGACTCAGGAGGCAGCAATAGATTGGGGTGGGGCCAAATAAAAGGTAAGAATAACGGGGGGGCAGAACCGGTTCGGTGATGTCATATCGTCACCGCTACCGGCTCGGCGGAACCGGGAGAAACCCACCACTGAGATATTTCATTACCCAAACTAGGTAACATCACCAGCGCATCAATGCTGATGATGTTACCTAGTTTGGGTAATGAAATGCCTGAAAGAAAACAACCAAGCTCAGAGAGCACCAAGGACCCCTCATCTTAACTCCGAGCTACAAATATTCTCCTTTATCGGTATTTTTATCTATGCTTTCTGGAGTCACACAAAGGTCAACAAATCAGAAGCGAGCAGCCTATTGTTATCAAATCTCTTCTGTATATAGTCAACTGATCCTCATCCAGGCATACATTCCATTAGTTTACTAATCTGGAGCGAATCCAAGAATTTAACTCTCACCATCTCGAGGGAGACATTCCTCAAAGACCGCCCCAGTAGTAGGAGGGTAGGATGCTGCCGTTCTCCTGTCGGCTTGCAAAATTGGACATTCGGAAGAACCACAACTCTGTGTTGCAATTGTGGCGAGCGCCATTATGGTGTAGCAGTTGAAATGTTGGGTTAGGAACAAGGAGACCTTGGTTCTGTTTTTTTGACTTTAAGCCAGCCCCTCTCTCTCTGGGCTCTAGAACAAACATGGACTGTTGGTGAATATTTGAGACTAGGAGTGAGGAGACCTAAATTCATTTCACCCTCAGTCATGGAAGCTCCTGAGGGACTTTGGGCCTCCCTCTCATCCCAAGAACCAGAGTAATGTATAGGTCAGGGGTGTCAAACTTGATTTCATTGAGGGCCACATCAGGGTTGTGTTTGATCTGGGGGGTGTGTGGCCAGGGTGGGTGTGGCCAGCTCGACATCACTCATATCAGAGGTGCCTGTGGTGGCCCAAGCACTCTTTTTTTTTTTTTTAATTTGATTTATATGCCGCCCTTCTCCGGAGACTCAGGGCGGCTTACAATGCGCTAAGCAATAGCCTTCATCCTTTTTGTATATTTATACAAAGTCAGCTTATTGCCCCCACAACTGGGACCTCAATTTACCTACCTTAGAAAGGATGGAAGGCTGAGTCAACCTTGAGCCTTGGCGAGATTCAAACCTGAAGTAATTGCAGGCAGCTGGTCTTAATAACCAGCTTAATAACAGGGTGCCTTAGACCACTGTACTACCAAGGTTCTTGGCTCTGCCAGCGAAAACGGGCTCCCAAGCTCTGTTGCCTCCTGCAACCCTCTGTCAGCGAAAACGGAGCTTGGGAGAGCCACACAAGTTCTGTTTCCGGCTGTGACAGTCTCCTGCAACCCTCTGCCAGCTCCGTTTTTGCTGGCAACGGCACCATGGGCTGGTCCAGTGGTGGGCTGCCCCCGGTTTGGACCGGTTCTCAAGAACCGGTAGTGAAACCGGTGGGAGGCCCCGCCTACCACCCCTGATGTCATCATCAGCGTTCTGTGCATGCGCAGAAGGTTTGTGATCCCGTTGCAAACCGGTAGTAAAGTTAAGTAGAACCCACCCCTGGGGTGGTCCTTCGCTGTTTCCAGGGCGGTCCTGTGGGCCAGATCTAAGCATCCCATGGGCCAGATCTGCCCCCCGGGCCTTGAGTTTGACACCCCTGGTATAGGTAGTCCTCAATTTACAAGCATTCATTTAGTGACCATCTGAAGTTACAACAGCACTGAAAAACTGACTTATGACCGGTTTTGACACTCACAACCATTGTAGCCTTCTCATCGTCATGTGATCAAAATTCAGTGTTTGGCAACTGCCGTGTATTTATGACAGTTACACTGGCCTAGGATCATGTGATCCCCATTTGTCACCTTCCCGGCTAGCTTCCAATAAGCAAAGTCAATGGGGGAATCCAGATTTGGTTAATGATCGCATGATTCACTTAATAACTGCAGTGATTTGCTTAACAACTCTAGCAAAAAAAAGGTCATAGAAAGAGGCGCAGCTCACTTAACAACTGCCCTGCTTAGCAATGGAAATTTTGAGTTCAGCTGTGATTGTAAGTCCAGGTGTTGTGGCCGCCGGCCACTCCAGCAGCCGAATCAGAGGAGGAAGAGGCGTGGGAGTCAGGATCAGCATCAAGGCAACCTGAGAGCTCCGAGGGGGAAGAGGGAATGGAGCTGGCAGAGAGAGAGAGAGACAGAGGCAGAGCCTGGGCTGCCCATCAGCCCTCAGATGGAGAGTCAACAGCCCCACAGGTCTGGAGGTGGCTGATGAGGAAGAGGAGGAACAGCTGGGTCCAGTGCCTGACACGCAAATGCACAGAAGGCAGAGGAGAGGAGAGCAGTGGAAATCTATGGGCCAGTCCTTGGGACGGAAGAGCCACCGCTGTTCCGGATAAAAGGCAGGGGCGGAGATGAATAGATGTGGCAGGCAACTATTCATCTCCCAGCTGGTCGGACTTGTTAGCCAGCGTTGAGAGAGAAACTTTTTGTCAGGGTTGCTAGCGCTCCTAATAAAGGAATCTTTGAGTTAACTTTAGAGGGTTTATCGTGTTTGGAGAGCTGGGTCAGAAAACCAAGACTCCCCATCGCCTCAGCCATAGAAACTCTGTGGGTGATATTGGGCCAGTTCCTTTCTCTGAGATCTAGAACCTGAGTGAATATTTGATGGTGAAGGTGCTGGACTAGGAACCAGAAGATTCAGGTCCTAGTCTCCTTTCATCCATGGTAACTCATTGGTGGACCGATGACAGACTCCTGGTCCATTCTACTTTCAGCATTGTTGTTGTGTATGCTGCCGTGAGCTCCCGAAGGATACAAATCCAACAGATCAGTAAATAGATCCATTATTTACTCATGCCTAAAAACCATACTGCACACATCAAATGGTTCTGAGATCTGGAGAATATAGTTAGTGACAGTGGTGGGTTCCTCCCGGTTCGGCCCGGTTCGGCTGAGCCGGTAGCGGTGACGATATGACGTCACCAAACCGGTTCTCCCCCCCCGCCCTCCCCCCCACCCCCCCACATTATTCTTACCTTTTATTTGGTCCCACCCCCAATCTATTGCTGCCTCCTGAGTCCCAGCTGATGACTAGAGGGAAAAAAACTGTTTAAACTCTTGCTGCAGGGCTTCAAAAGGCCGTCCTACAGCTGATCAGTGTTAAAAGCAAACAAATGAGTCGGGTCGTAAGTGCGAGGACTGGTCGTAAGTGCGAGGACCTTCCAGAAATGACTCTGACCAGCTAGCCACGCCCACCTAGTCACATGACTTCCAACACACACCCACAAAATAAGCCACGCCCACAGAACCGGTAGTAAAAAAATTTAGAACCCACCCCTGGTTAGTGATCAACTAAGGACAACAATAACAATAGGACTTAGACGTCATAGTGCTTTCCAGCCCTCTCTAAGCGGTTTACAGAGCCAGCCTATTGCCCCCAACAATCTGGGTCCTCATTTTACCAACCTCGGAAGGATGGAAGGCTGAGTCAACGTTGAACTGGTCAGGATCAAACTCCTGGCAGTGAGCAGAATCGGCCTGCAATACTGCATTCTAATCACTGTGCTACCACTCTTTCATGTTATAATGTTTGAAAGAAATACATGAATATTTGGTTAACAGCATGGTTTCATTCTCTGGTTTCTGCTAGGAAGAGGCAGGCAGAATCCAAAACATGTACATTACTTTTAAACAAATGTTCATGCATTTCTTTCAAAAATATATATACATGCTGTCCTTCAAAATGATGACTCTTGTGGAAACCTCTCTGTGTCTGAAATCAGTCTGAAAATGTCCAAACAGTAACACTGATACATGATAGAAGAGATAGCATGGGAGGTGGACATTCTGATGTAATAAAAAAGTAAGGTATTAAATCCAATATTTAGGAAAATCAAAAGAAAAAGTTTGCCTCACATGGGGAACAGAGATGTTATTCAGCAGGTTCTGACCAGTTCTGGAGAATCAGTAGCGGAAATTATGAGTAGTTCGGAGAACTGGTAAATACTACCTCTGACTGGCCTGCCCCCTTTTATTCTCTGCCTCCTGAGTCCCAGCTGATCAGGAAGAAATGAGGATTTTGCAGTATCCTTCCCCTGGAGTAGGGTGGGAATGGAAATTTTACAGTATCCTTCCCCTGCCACACCCACCAAGCCACGTCCACCAAACCATACTATGTTCATCAAGCCATGCCCACAGAACCGGTAGTAAAATTTTTTGAATCCCACCACTGATGGGAACGATAATGAAAGAAGGAAGATGGAAGGAAGCCATTTCTCTAGAACTGGGGTGGGGAACCATGGGCCCTTTTATGACTTGTGGACTTCAACTCCCAGAAAGGGCCACGGTTCCCCATCCCTGCTCTAGCACAATGTTTCTCAATCTTACCAACTTCAAAATATGTGGACTTCAACTCCCAGAGTTCCTCAGCTAGTATGCTAGCTGAAGAATTCTGGGAGATGAAGTCCACATGTCATAATTTGCCAAGGGTGAAAAACAATGATTTGGGAATTAACAGTTTTGTCAAAGAAAAGTTACAAAGTTGGAATAGATAGTTTAGCATCACTTTCCATTTAAAGGTCCTTGTGTTCTATGTGACTTAAAACACCTTTCGTTTTGTTTGTTTCAGGCTTGTGTTTTGTGCAGAAGAGCCTGGGAAGACCAACATATCTCCTAGCCAAGAACTCTGGTTTGTAAAATGCCGAGAAGGGTGGCAAAAATGGAACAGAACAATGTAAGTCCTGATACCAGTTCAGTATTTAATTGCTTGCAACACAATTAGCACGAGAGGTTATCTGAGTGTGTTACAGAGAAGACAATTGTTCCCCAAATCTATTGGGCAGGATTATCGCTTAAAACTTTAAAAATAGGAAAATACCTATTTTGGGAAGGTTTGGAAAGATGCAATGGACATCCAGAACATCCTCAAAATTTAGACTAACAGTGTGCCCTTTTAAGTTCCCTAACACCTCAAAAAGGCAAGGAACAAAGGAAGGAGAAAGGAAAGAAGTGAAGATGGCACATGAGGAGAAGGAGAAATAGTGCTGGAGGAGGAGAAGGAAGAGAGATGGAGATGGTGGACAAGGAAAAGGAGGAGAGATAGTGATGGTGGACAAGGAAAAGGAGGAGGAGAAGGAAGAGAGATGGTGATGGTGGACAAGGAAAAGGAGGAGGAGGAGAAATTGGTGGTGGAAGTGGTAGAGAAGGAGAAGAAGAAAGGAGGAGGAGGAAGAAGAGGAGGAAGAGGAGGAAGAGGAGGAAATCGAAATAAATCTCAAGTCCAAAGATGCTACTGATTACCATTTTGGGGCCTTCTGTGAAGCATCTGAAGAATACAAATTGCAAACTGGGGGTAAGGACATCCGTAAAGGAGGTTAAACAAGTCAACATGGTAGATAACTTGTATATAAAAATAAAAGAATAAGATTTTGATCACAGCAGTCCACATATCTTAAAGTTGCCAAGCTTGGGAGAAACCCTGCTCTAAGAGAACTCTTGACCGTCCCTAGGTAAAATTGGGCACTTTACTCAGCATTTCCCACTACAAAGTAAATTTAGCTTTATGGTACCTGGAAGTCTCCATCAGTGGTTCTCCTCAAGCATGACAAGACTATTTGTGGTTCAGTGGTCATTAGTCAAATCTGAAACATCCCAGAAACTGCCTGAGACAGGAACTTGGCCTCCTCCCACAAATCTTTAGAGGGAGTTCCCCCCCCCCGTCTTGTTTCTCTTTGAGGCCAGTTCATCTTAAATGATTGTCAAAGCGCATCGAAGCTGTAATTTGAGCCTCTTAAATCATGCTCTTTGTTTTTTCCCTCTTCCTTTCTTAGACCAGGATAAAATCGGCATTGAAATGTCCTCCTTGAGAAGCCTCTTAGATCCATCAGGGACCAACCCAGCTGGAAAAAGCATTTGCTGCGACGAAAGACGAAAGACCGAAACATGTTTCTGCAGACTTTTTCCTCTGGCTTCCTCACTTGTCAGGGCTTGCAAGAGCTTGTAGTTTAAAGATGGATCTGTGGGGTTGCTAAAAACTATCTCAGCGTCAATGATAATTCAGAGAACTTTCTATATTTATGGCTTCTACTTTTTTTAAAAAAAAGAATAATTTATTGGGAGGGAATAATAAACCCACCTGTTACAAAACTGGCCTCTTTTCAGAGAGCTTTTCTGGTTGTGCCTATGCCATCTTGCCTTGGTCAATGTTTGGGGTCTACGCCTCTTTTACAGGCCCAGTCAAAACAGATTGCACATTATTGCAACACCAAGATTAATGTGAATGCAGACAGAGCCAATCATATGATGTAGAGCACTGTGGGGTCCTTGGTTCTCTCTGAGCTTGGTGGGGTTTTTTTTGCAGACGTTTCATTACCCAACTCGATAACATCATCAGTGCTAGAAGAGAATGGGGTTTTCCTTCTGTTTATGTACTAGTAGCTTCAGTGGTGGGTTCTAACTGGCTTTACTACTGGTTCTCTTTGTACATGCGCTTCGCGCGTGATCGCCTCTTCGTGCACACGCTTTGCGCGCGACAGTTGCAATGTCCCGGGGTCATGGGATCACCTTTTGTGACCTTCTGACAAGCAAAGCCAATGGGGAAGCTAGATTCACTTAACAACCGTGTCACTAGCTTAACAACTGCAGGGATTCCCTTAACAAGTGTGGCAAGAAAAGTCGTAAAATGGCCATTTAACAACTGTCTTCTTTAGCAACAGAAACTTTGGGGTCAATTGTGGTTCTAAGTCAATGACTGTCGTGGGAACACTAACATACATTAAGCATTCTTGATATGTCCAAATGAGGTCTGTCTCCTCTTGTAATTAATGAATAAAGTTGTTCGACTCTTCAAAGTTTGCAAAATTCCCACAGAAGACCCTTGAGAGTTTAAAGCAAGGGTCCCCAAACTTGGCAGCTTTAAGACTTGTGGACTTCAACTCCCAAAATTCTCCAGAATTCTCCAGCCAGCTATAACTCCCAATTCTGGGAGTTGAAGTCCACAAGTCTTAAAGCTGCCAAGTTTGAAGACGTCTGGTTTGAAGTGTTGCGTTGAGCAAATTAAAATGATCTGAGGAGAATGTTAGCTCCTTCGGAAGAAAGGATGCCTATTTTTAAACCAGATTTCTCAAGGAACTTTTCTACTGCTAATTTTTTACGTATGGGTTAGCCGATCTCAACCAAAGTCTTTGGGGTTTTTTTTCCCCCCTATAGAGATGACATTTTGTCTTTGTTCTTTAGGAACAGAATTTGAGGTAATTTAACTGTGACCTGTGCCAACTTATGAAGTGATCCTGAAGCTCTGTCTGTGAAGTTAAATGTATATATAAAATGGGTTTTTGTAATAATTGCTCCTTCTCTATTTATTATTTTTTTCCAGAAATGTGCATTTGTATATTTATATAAAGAGGCTCTTTTTTTAAAAAAAAATAAAAATCAAATGTGTTTTTTTACAAGCCAGGAGCAGAAAAATAAACTCAGTGACTTCTTTAAAATCAGATGTGGACATTTTAATTCTTTCCTTTAAAAAAATCCTAACATGGAGTGTCTGTGGAGAGAAATCCATCCTGGAGGAACTCGGGAAACCTGTTCAGCTAAACAGACCCGTAAAGTTGGAATTCCCCCAAGTCACAGTCGGTTGGTTCCCTTCAAATCCTTCCAGCCTGGATTGTAAATTTGGACAAGGTTGCAAATCCAAAGAATAATTCTTCCACTTCATTCTTCTGGGAAGTGCAGATCTATGTTCTGACCCAGCTCCCCTGTAGTTGAAGCAATGATTCCTTTATTAGGAGCGCCAGCAGCCACAGCAAAAAGTTTCTCTTTCACCGCAGGCTAAGAAGTCTGTCCGACAGGGAGATGAATAGTTGTCTGCCACATCTATTCATCTCCGCCCCTGCCTTTTATCCCGAGAGCTACGGTGGGGCTTCGCTAGCAGTGCTGGCTCTTCCATCCCAAGGATCAGCCCATAGATTTCCACTGCTCTCCTCTCCTCTGCCTTCTGCGCATCCGTGCATCAGGCACTGGACCCAGCTGTTCCTCCTCTTCCTTATCAGCCACCTCCAGACCTGGGGGCTGTTGATTCTCCATTTGAGGGCTGACGGGCAGCCCAGGCTCCGCCTCTCTTTCTCTCTCTCTGACAGCTCCATTCCCTCTTCCCCCTCAGAGCTCTCAGGTTGCCTTGATGCTGACCCTGAACTCCCATGCCTTCTTCTCATCTGATTTGGCTGCTGGAGGGCCGGAGGCTGGCAGGCCACAACAATCTGATTTCGCATCTTAGAAACCACATAGGAGCGCGGTAGCTCGCTTGGTTAGGATGCTGGGTTGACAAGTAGCAAGCCCGCGTTTGAGACCCTGTGCTGCGGGTCTATGACAATTCACCATGGCAAACTCGCCACGGCCAACTCGCTTGCAGGACAACTCGCCACGGCCATCTCGCCAGAGGACAACTCGCGGTGGGACAAGAGTTACACTAATATACACTACCAAGAGCCTTGGTAGTACAGTGGTCTAAGGCACCCTGTTATTAAGACCAGCTGCCTGCAATTACTGCAGGTTCGAATCTTACCAGGCTCAAGGTTGACTCAGCCTTCCATCCTTTCTAAGGTAGGTTAAATGAGGACCCAGTTTGTGGGGGCAATAAGCTGACTTTGTATAAATATACAAAAGAATGAAGGCTATTGCTTAGCACATTGTAAGCCGCCCTGAGTCTCCAGAGAAGGGCGGCATATAAATCAAATAAAAAAAAAATCAAATAAGCCTTGGTAGTACAGTGGTCTAAAGCACCCTGTTATTAAGACCAGCTGCCTGCAATTACTGCAGGTTCGAATCTCACCAAGGGTCAAGGTTGACTCAGCCTTCCATCCTTTCTAAGGTAGGTAAATTGAGGACCCAGTTGTGAGGGCAATAAGCTGACTTTGTATAAATATACAAAAGTATGAAGGCTATTGCTTAATGCATTGTAAGCCACCCTGAGTCTCCAGAGAAGGGCAGCATATAAATCAAATTAAAAAAAAAAGTAAAAAAAAATGGTGGAATAGAATCATTAAAGAAAGAATGCAAAAGGAGGGATAGAATGAAATGCGAATGGCAAAAAGTAAAATAATTTTTATTTATTATAAATAATTACCATATTTTTCATAGTATAAGACGCACCTTTTTCTCCCCAAAAAGAGGGTGAAAATCTGGGTGCGTCTTATACTCCGAATGTAGCTCTGCCCTGCCCAGATTTCAGAGACTGAAAGAAGCCTCTGAAAGAAGCTTCAGAAAAAAAGCCTCTGAAAAGCTTTTGTCTAAAATAATATGGCAAGCAACAAAAGAAGAATCAGTAAAGGTTCTAACCAAACTATGCTAACAAATCTGGAGAATGACAAATAACCAGCAGATCGGAAGAGGTTAATCTATATACCAATACCAAAGAAAGGAGATTGAACAGAGTACAGATAGTCCTTCAGAATAAAAGCCTCTGAAAGAAGCTTCAGAAAAAAAAGCCTTTTTTTCTGAAGCTCTGTTTCGGAGGCTTTCAGAGGCAGAAAAAAAAGTTTTCCCTGAAATAGAGTTTCAGAGGCAGAAAAAAAAGCAAGGCACAGAGCTCACAACCAATGAACCTGTTGCTAAAATTCACCTCTGGAAACATCTGATTGTGGGTATTCCAGGAGGGTGATCTACCCACCAATCAGCTTTTCCTCTCCAAAAACTAAGGTGTGTCTTATACTCTGAAAAATACGGTAAATAGAATGGTTAAATTGCCCGCAGTGAGTTGGTCATGGCGAGTTGTGGCAAATTGGCTGTGGTGAATGCTGCTGTGTGACAGGGTGAGTTCCCGTCATTCGCTCCAGCTCCTGCTAATGAAGCCGTTCGAAAGCATGCATTTGCAAGTAGATAGAAAGATAGATAGTTACCGCTTTGATGGGCACATAACAGGACATGAAAGGAGCCCCAAACTGGGTGTCCCCTGGGCAATTGTGATGTCACTGGCTAATCTTTCAACCCGGAAGCGCCCTGGTGCTTCTGAGATTCGTGCGAGTACAAGCAGACATATGTCCTCCAATCAGACCCTTCGAACCTTCCAATGGTGGAAGTCCAAACTAGACTGATGATGATGATGATGATGATGATGATGATATGTGCCTTTACCAAAGCACAGTGGAAAATAAAAGCAGTAACACAATAACCACAAATCAATCCAATACAATTACAGGTAGTCCTTGACATACAGCCATTCGTTGAGCGACCCTTTGAAGTTGTGACACTGAAAAAAAGTGACTTATTTATTTATTTATTTATTTATTTATTTATTTATTTTTCAGATTTCTATACCACCCTTCTCCTTTCAGACTCAGGGCGGTGAACAGCCAAAATAAAACATTTGTACACAAAAGTTAAAATAAATTTAAAATAATTAAATAAAGTTTGGCCCATAATTTAAAACATTTCAATTAAAATCAATATCAAATTTTAAAAACCAACCATAAAATCAGGACAGCCCGGCTAACTGAAAAAAATAAGTTTTAAGGGCCCGACAAAAAGTCCGGAGGTCTGGGAACACTCGTATCTCTGGGGGTAGATTGTTCCATAGGGCAGGTGCTGCCACAGAGAAGGCTTTCCCCCTGGGGGTCGCCAGCTGACATTGTCTGGCCGACGGCACCCTGAGGAGGCCCTCTCTGTGGGAGCGAACTGGCCAGTGGGAGGCTATTGGTGGCAGAAGGTGGTCCCGTAAGTACCCCGGCCCTAAGCCATGGAGCACTTTAAAGGTGATCACCAACACCTTGAAGCGCACTCGGAAGTCCACCGGAAGCCAATGTAGCTCGCGCAGGAGAGGAGTCACATGGGAGCGCCCCGTCGTTCCCATAATCCCCCGCGTGGCCGCATTCTGCACCAGTTGGAGCCTCCGGGTGCACCCCAAGGGGAGCCCCATGTAGAGAGCATTACAATAGTCCAGACGAGAACTTGGACTTATGACCAATCTTTACACATAAGACCACAGAGGCATTTTCACAGTTAGTGACCAGAATTCGGGCATTCGGCAATTGTCATGTTTTAACAATGGTGGCAAGTATCCCGGGATCACGTCATTGCCATTTGCAAACTTTCCAGCTGGCGTCTGATAACTAAAGACAAGGGAAGAAACTGGATTCACTTAACAACTGGGGCAAAAGAGGTAAAAATAAGATGTGACTCACTGAATAGCCACCTTGGTTCCAACTGTCGTAAACCAAGGACTATGTGTAATTCAAATTTTCACAGTAAAGCAACTAACAAGGATTCTTTTAAAACAACCCCCTGGCTTAGGGCTGACTGTGTATATCCACAATCATTTAAAACAGCTTACTAGGAATTGTCAGAGAAACAAAAGTAGCTTACAGCAGCTAGACAAGACTTTAAACCATCAGTAATAAAAGAAGGTCTTTAAGCTCCCTTTAAAAGTCTTCCAATCAGAGATGGAGGGAAGAAGATCCTAAACTTAAGAACTAAATGAAATCCATTCCTTTTTCTGAATACAGGCAGTCTGTTCTGACCTAGGCTTCCCCAAAAAGCACGAAGCAGAATCCTGGTCCCGACAAAACCCCTTTTATTAAATCAAATAAATCAAATAAACTAATAAACTAATAAATCAAATAAACTAAAAACTATTAAACAAACAGTGAATTCCTCTCATTCACCTTCAGCAAAGTCTTTCAAGGGAGAATTTACAGGAACAGAAATCTTGGGCTGAATTGTAGTCATAACTCAAGGTCTACATGTAAATAATAGAATAAATACAGGTAGTCTTTTTCTTACAACCGCATTTGAGCTCAAAATGAGTCATAAAATGGGGCAACACTCACTTAACAATTCTCTTCCTTAACAAAGGAAATTTTGGGCTCAGTTGTGGTCATAAGTTGAGGACTTGCCTATATTATTGATTGCTGTGGGACTTTACTTGATAAAGTCCCAATAAGTAAGACAACAATAAGTATCTAAATTCCATCGCGCTGAAAACTCTTTGAGTTTAGAATTCCCTATTTCAGAGGTCTTTTTTTTTTTTAATTTGATTTATATGCCGCCCTTCTCCGGAGACTCAGGGCGGCTTACAATGCGTTAAGCAATAGCCTTCATACTTTTGTATATTTATACAAAGTCAGCTTATTGCCCCCACAAACTGGGTCCTCATTTCACCTACCTTAGAAAGGATGGAAGGCTGAGTCAACCTTGAGCCTTGGAGAGATTCGAACCTGCAGTAAATTGCAGGCAGCTGTGTTAATAACAGGGTGCTTAGACCACTGTACTATCAAGGCTCTTGAAGTCCACAAGTCTTAAAGCGGCCAAGTTTGAAGACCTCTGCCCTAGTTGAAAAATGGGATTGCCAACTAACCAGAGGAAACCCTCTTGCTTGCAGCCAAAATAGCCAATGCAATCCTAAATTGCATTAACAGAGTGATACAATCAAGCTCAAGTGAGGTACTAATACCACTCTATAAAGCCCTAGTAAGACCACACCTAGAGTATTGCATCCAGTTTT